ACACTAATTACATTACACCACAACTACAACTCCACTACGCTACAACTACAACTACAGTTGCAGTACATCACGCTACATCCAGCAGTTGTGGGTGAGGTGACCACTGCAACCATTGCAACCATTCCAGCAAACACAACTCCAACCACCTTTCGGTCAATCAGTGGCTTCGCTCTGCCATCCCTGATTCACAACAACCAACTTCTCCTATAGGTTTCCTCTTTTTGAAACTTCCGCCACCGCCTTGTGCGGTACTACTGGTAAGTTATACTGTAGGTTTTTTGAGGTTTCCTATGGTTTTACCAAACATGCACACGAAGGTCGAGTCAGTATGTAATCCGAAACGAGCTTCGAAAACCCTGGAGGCAATATAAACCAGGAAAGCCAGACTCGTGCTCGCTTGGATCTCAGTGTGATTATTGCCATTACGAACATCGCAAGCATCGAAGTCAAAGGGGCCGTCACAACTTGCAGAAGAAGGAATACCAGGAGCAGAAAAACAAATTGCCGCTAGAATTCACGAAGAATGTGGACAAGATTTACAACATGACCTTGAAAGCTTTTGTCCACGTCAAGGAGCTCTTGGCCACTCTCAAGGAGGACCCGGACTCTCTCAGTGCCATGGAGAAGGCCGTGTTATGTGAAGTGAATGAAATTGGCAAATGTGCCCAAAACAAACGACCAGACAATGCTCGATTGAGAAGAACATCTGAGCCTGGCCCTAGTCAGAGACAGGGCAAGGTGGACCTTCAAGGTCGATGCAAGTGGTTGAGCGGCACTTTGCACCTCATGATCCAAAAGATGTTTGATGATGACAAAGTACAGAGGCAGGAGGAAAAGTTCAAGACCATTGGAGACTCCGTGGATGAGTGTTTGAATATGCTCGAGAGGGTCAGAGAGCAGTTGACAAAGTGGTCAGATGAAGACCGAGAACGAATTAGCAAGGCTTTCAATATCAGGACTATCAGGACAGAAAAATTGAATGACTCGCTAGCACCAGAAGTACATGCCTTCATGTTCCAGGAGAGGTTGCGTTCGGAGAAGGACCCCGACTACGATTTCCAGAAGGAGTTGTTGAAGGAACTTTGCTTGGACTGGAGCCGCTTGAAAGCCATTGAGGAGACGACGCTACAGAAGATGAAGGATGCTGTGAGTCTGAAGGATTTTGCGCATGTCGTGGAACAAGAGCTTCAAACTCAGTTGGACAGCACTTTAGGCCCTCAAGGCAAAGCTGACGACGAATGAGGCTCTGCTCTGAGCATGAGTCGCCACTCTTCCTGCAGAGTTCAGTTGTTGCTTCTCGCACTAGGATAGTGGCGGGTGCATGCAAGTTCCTTGAGTCCTTGAGTTCTTCATAGTACAAGGTTGCTACGGAAAGAGCTCATGAAGAAAGCGAACAATTTTTAATATGGATGAAGAAAAGATGCAGAGCTTGCTCGGCGGACAGGGTGTTGCGATTGTCTGAACAGTGACAAAGCTGTTCTTGCTGAGAGTTTGAATATCTTGGAAATTCATGGAAATTCCTTATGTTCGGCCTGTCCGGCAGTGCTAAGTGGCTCAGTTCAAGCGCCAGGAGCTACCTGTGCGCTTTGCTCGGCGTCTCAAGCACATAGAGCGGGTGGACAAGTGGGTTCCTTGAATCAGAAGGAAAAGACGGACAAGCTGACAAGCTGCATCAATATTGCATCATCTTACCAGACAGTGTGAGTACGATTGGAGTACGAGAAAGCGTTGAAGCCTTCTACTTCCCTGTTTCCAGAGTCCGTCCTTCTATGTCCTTCTGATACGTTCTCATGATGTTGTGTGTTTAGAAGGGCCAATGATCCTCTGCACATGATGCGCATCACGTGCATTTGAAGTTTCAGATTTGCTCGCACTCATTCTTAGATTGCTTTTCGTCGGTAGAGTCGGTAGACAGCTATTGCATACTATTGAAATTTATTGAATATGATTCGATTGAATATCATTGATGAACAGACTGTGACAGACCAAAGTGTGCAGCGCACTGGCCATGGCTGGCCATGGCTGGCCTCAGGAACAGATTCCAGAGCTGGTTGATCTCCATGCCATGCACATCCATTCCTTCAGGGAACTGCCACTTGGCCACTGGCTGCTGGCTTCGATGCAGCTGTTGAGATCTGGGTGTCTCTGAAAATGATTTAAAATGGCCATTGGGCCATTGCGATGGGAAAATGAATGAATATGATGATGAAGCATGGGATTTGGGGGGTAGCCGATTTTCAGACATGTTTTTTGTTGAGGCGATTGTCTGATCCGTCGAAACCTGCAGAATACGCGGAGGCAATGAACTATGGCTAGGACAAGCCAGTGAATCAACAGGAGATTTATTTGGCACACAGCATACTGGTGAGGGATGAGAAAATGATTGAGATTCATCCAGTTAAATTGGAAAATCATCCCCGTTGACATTTCCTCCACAGATCGAGGGGGGTTGGGGTGCCTATATGGCATAATTTTATGGGAAGTGTTGGCCTTATATGGGGTCGAGCATGCCATTTTGTAGTAATTTGTGGGTTTTACCTGGTTTTATAATTTTTTAATTTGAAGGCATGATCATTTATGGGCACCAAGACAAACCATTTTGTAACAAACAAAAAACCATTTTGTAGATGTTTTTAAGGGTATGATTTGGTGCTTTTAAAAAATGTGAGTTAGTCATTGACAAAGAAAAATCAGCTAGCCATTCTGTAGAGAAACCATCGTTTCAATAAATGTACCATTTTGTAAGTGCATATTTGTGTTTGCAACAACACCGCACCCAAAATCACTTGAAGAAATACCACCTTATTTAAATAAGAAAATGACCTGCTATTTGTATATAGATGGAATGAGGCAAGAAATAGACTAAGATGTCTTTGACCAAATGGCACAAACACTACACCAATCCAACAACCCCCACAACACACCACCCACAACATCCACACGACGACAACCTGATGGAACATATGACAAGAAACCCCTAGACCCCAAATACTTTCAAAATCCCCCTTGCCATTTCATGGGTGAGGTTGGGGGGGGGAGCATTTTGTAGTGAACCACCCCTTTTCTCTGCAAAATGGCTCCAGTACACAGTCTCCATCCTACAAAATGGTCTGTCTATAACCCATGGGGTATGTTTTTCTAGAAAATGGTTAGGCCTGCTGCCTAGAGTCGACCATTTTGTAGACTGGTGTAGGTCTGAAGATAGACCCTGTTTTTATGATTGTGTTGAAAAGAGCAGTGACAAAGAATTGTGATTGAATTTGTTCCTTCTGGATCCTTCTGGATCTTCTCGGATTCTTCAGCCTTATCCAAATTTCGATACCGATTGTTCCCTGGAAGATCTGTTTCAAAATAGCATTCTTCTCCTGATCTTCGTTTTTGCTTTGGGACCGTTTTTGTGACTGGAACATACTGGAACCGGAAAAAGATTCCATCTTCAGAAGGATTGCCAGCACATTGTTGGCAAAAAATAGAAAACTATTCATGCTGCAAAAGTTGCATGAAAAAAAATGGATCCACCTCCGAAAAGGAGGAGTGAAGACGACTAGAGGGTAAAAACCCTACAAAATGGCACTGGGAAAAAGGCAGTTGACGCTGAGGTCTTGACAAGATAGAGGCTCTACAAAATGGCTGTGGGATTTTTATATGTTTTATAAAATCATGAATGCACTGGTTTGATCATTTTTTGACTAAATTGTCAAAATATTTGTGGATCAAAACAGGTGACAGGCACTACCATTTTGTAGAGAGAGGTTATAGACAGACCATTTTGTAGGATGGAGACTGTGTACCAGAACCATTTTGTAGAGACAGGGGTTCACTACAAAATGGGGCCCCCCACCCCCCCCAGGGAATGGCAACGTGGATGGAAAATCCATGAAATTCCTGGATGTACAGCCCTCAAACATGTGCCCCAAGTGCAGATGTTGATGAAATGTTGCCATATTTTGGTCAGATGAATCATCATGAATGTCGGATTTTGTCGGATTTTGACAGTGCACTGTTTGACTGCCTCTGTTAGGTTTGGTCAACCCCAGCCATGCCCAGGGCCCCGGCCATGCAGGCTATCCTGCAGATCCGGCAGCGCCACAAGCGCCTCCCACGGCTTTTTGCTGAGGCCAACCATTCAGTCTTTGAACATGTGCCTATTTCTTGAACAATTTTTGAGGCCTTCATTTTTACAAAAGTTCTTGCATTGGGTGTGTCTCTGTTTGTGCACGTTTCTGTCCTTTGTTCAGAGTTTTTCCCCCACTTCTGTCTTTGAGGCCGTGAAGCGAATCGCATCTATCAATGAAGCACCCAGCGAAACGGAGGAGAAGTGAGGGAAACGATGGGAAATGGCTCTTGTCCAACCTTCATTTGTTGTTTTTCATGTGTTTCCTTCAAACTGAAAATACGGGCCGCTTCAAGCTGTGTCAAGCTGTACCCCGATTTTGGTGATTCAGATCTCCCTGGTGATGGCCCAGCCGTTCAGGATGAGCAAAGCACCCACCTGGAGCTCTGGGCAGAGACATTTCTGCGTTCTCGCGTAGCCAGCGAACTGCTAATGCCTCTTGGTTCCCAAGGTGTTTGTGCGCAGCACATGATAAGACACTTTGAATTTGCCAAAATGTGATTCTGAAATTGAATACCCGGCTTTTCTTTGGACACGGTCTGCAGGTTTGGGGCATGTTCTGCCAGTGGTAAGGTCCCACTTTGAGGCCTGTGTGAAGACAGCTGGATTCGATGAGGAAACCAAGGTCGGCATCATAGACATGAAGTGACCTGGACGCAAACGGCTGGTTTCATGATGTTTCATGATGTTTCATGGGAGTCTTGCTGGCTGGTCAAATGACCTTGCCTGATTTGAGAGCTCTGGATTTGAAATTGCAGAGTATCGTCATAAACTTTGATGGTTGTAACGAGTGTAACGTGTTTGCCAATGTTTGCCATGATTTTCAGAGGGTGATCTGAGGTGCGATCCATGGCAAATCTGTGAATCGGCTGTTGTTGCCACTCAGGATTGGGTTGAAAGTTGAACCGTGAAGTTGGCACCCCGTTGAATTCATTGCAGAGTAACAACTCAATTAGAGGGGTGGTGCAAAAGTGTGATAGGCTTTGCATTGATTGTGTTTTTGTGTTTGGTGTTTTTTTCTGAATGTTTCTTGTCCCTCCATTCCCACATGCGCAGGATGGACCATATCCATGTCATATTGAGACGGAAAGCCCGCGCCATGCCTGCAACTAATGCAGTCCGGCAGGTGGGCTCTCTTTCTTGTCAGATCAGTCGACTTTCGACAGGGAATCAGCACTTGGGAAGCGGGCATCACTGCCGCATCACTTGAGCGACTTGAGTCGTTGTTTCCTCGCAAAGACTGAATAAGGGTTTGTGGAAGAAACAAGCAGGGGAAGTGTCACCTGCATCAGCAAGTTTACTGTGTTTCATTGTGTTCCATATTTTTTCTCACGTTTCTCCAGGAACTTAGTATGTCTTCTCCTTGTGCTTTGTTTTCCTTCCATGGAGGCCTGAGAAGATCGAGTTCTGTCATGCAGCTGGGAGCAAAACCACTGAGACTTTCATCTTTGGGCTTGGCTCCCGCGCGAGCAAAATATTGGTTTGCACTTTTACCCAGAAGATTATCAAGGATTCTGTTATATTAATGTACAGATATACATGTTTAGGTCCAAAAATAGCGACATGTTTTTGCAAATGTTCGTCTTCCAAGAAATCGGAGCTGTGAAAGAGATCCCTTCAACACCCGTCTATGCCAGATTGTGCAACTCATGCACTTTGTGCACCTGCTCTTGAGATCTCTTGACGTCCCTGGTGCTAAGGTACCTAGATATCTGTACTACATTATGGAGGAAATTCTTTCAAACAGTGCCTTGGTTGGCAGATGTTACAGTTCCATGACAAGGGCGTTGCTGCCATGACGATTGGATTATACTTGCACTGCCGTTGGTGGAGAAGAACCTGGATTGTGGAAGCAAGGTGGCAGTCATAGTCTAATGATCAGGATGATCAGAACCCGTTTGGAGGGTGTCTTGAAGGCAATCAATAAAGTGGGTTGTTTCCAAAAGAGAAAGCCAGCATGGACCTGGCAAAGCACTTCGGTCTCAGGTGCGCGAGCAGCGGCTGAAAAGGCCCAGAAGGCTACCCAGTTGTGTTCAACCGCATGATTCAGCTTTTCACATTTTGACCATTTTTGACCTTCGAATTGTCAGAGTTTGAGTTCCAACCAAAACAGTGCCATCGGACGGACTGGCTTTGGACACCGCAGAGACTTCCAAAGCGATCCATGGCTCTGCTTCTTGCTCTTCTTGTTTGATCCAGGATGGAGCAGAGCCGACCCCCATTCGCGTCTCCTTGTGCGCGGACGACAGCCAGGCAAGAGTGAAACCAATGGACACGAATGACAATCATGGAAAAAGAGAATTGACGGAGACTTCTGGCTTGATTTCAAAATATTTCAAAGGACATTTGCGTCTAGTCATGTCTAGTCTTCTTTTCCTTTGATGTTTGAACTGAATCCTGTGAACCCGCCCTTCATTATGCTTCTCTGTGTTGTTTTACCAGTGTTCTTCCATGCTTCTCCTGCTTATTATTATATTAATATCATTTAATATATATATATATCATTCATATCATTCGGGCGTGGCTGTTCTGCGGAGGTGGTTATCCGCGTCAGTGACCGCGCCGGTGGGATGCATTCCAAATGCGCAAGTGAGTCTCTCGCATGCAGATTCTGTCACCCCTGGATCCACAAATTCCGAAGAATGTTTGGAGGGTGTCATCATTTGATGTTTGGAATGTTTGAAAGGTTTACCAAGAGGAATATTGCGGCAATGAGCATTTGCAGGCACGAATTCTTAAATAAATCAAGCCTGTGGATCAACCGAATCAGGGTGAAGGCAGTGAGTAACTGTGAGCTGTGCAAGCTATGGCCTGGCTCACCAAGGGTGTGGTCATACTTATTCACTACCTCACCAGTGCATGCTGCCTCAGCACAGCGCCGGGGTTCTTGGAACGCTTGCAATACATGCATTCTCAAAAACACAGCTGGAAATTGGAGCCAAAGGTTTTTCGGACATGGGACCCTGGCTTTCTTCCAACCTGGGAAGACATGTAACTAAGCAAAATTAGTCAAAATTATGCAAAGTGGTTGATTGTAGATATTTTAGCAGTTTCACCACCTTCAACAGCTCTTGGCTGTATCTTTTCATGTTTGGCCAATTTCTTTTTGAGGGCTTTCCTGGTCAGTTCATCGATCCATTTCCCGCCAGGACGTCTCGGTGCATTTGCTGGCAGAAACAAACACTGTTTTACCAATTTGGAACGTCAGGTGTAGAGCCGCATCGACCTTGGGGTGTTGACGGGCATGGCGAGAGCCCAATGGCCGGGCGTGGCATAGGCGCTGATACAGCTGCAATTTTTCTTGCAAACTCCTCTCCTTGTTCTGCAGCCCTTCACCATGATTCCTCTCGCCTTCGCACATTTCCAAAGCGTACTGCATTCCAAACTTAAATCCTGGCTTGCTGACCTTGCTCGATTCATCAACGGGATTCGGTTTTGCAGTAATTCACCCACAATTTACCGGCTCTGTTTATGACTCGGGCTAGATATCGTTTTATGATGTTTTATGATGTTTTATGACGTTTTATGTCATTACAATATATTACAATTAATTATAGAATATGACAGACCAGTCCTCTTGATCCTCCAAGCATAGCCTTGGTGTCATTCGCCAGGCCTGCCACTTTGCCGTCTCTATGCCATGTATTTGGGTGCATCCCTGCACCTAATGATCCTTGACGCAGCCATCAGTGAAATGGAAGGGAACCGCAATGCAGTCACAATATGTCAGAAATACATAGAAATACACAAACTGAATCGAACTGAACACTGAATTGATTCCGAATTTGAGAAGTATCAAGCGGTTCGCAGAGGATGGATATAGAAATAGAGCTGATGCAAAACTCAGGAAGTGTTCACGATTGTCCACGTCCCCATGTATTTCCACATATTCCTTACCCACCAAGAGAGAATGCCAAACAGTCCTGATTCATCATTGACTCAGCAAGTGCACAGAAAGCAATCATACGCATGAGTGCCACTAAGGAACATGCCTGGTCTAGGCTGGCCATTGAACTTGCAGCTTTCATTTGTTGGAGAGACCACAGGAATTCAGAGTACATTTTATGTTGCTGATTGTTGCCGTGCTTATGAACCTGACATAACCTGACCTTCAGAACGGGAATTGTGGATTGAATTGGCTTAAGTCGAATCTGAGCCGACTTGCGCCACGCTGCAAATTGGTTTTGAACATGCATTCTACATCATTCTACATGTTTGCAAGGCGTGGATGCTTACCTGTTCTTGAACCGGAGTCTTGCCTTGTTCATTTCGTCTCCAGGATCTTGGACTTTTTGGGTCAAACAGTGCGGTCAGTCAGACGGACTCTGGAAACATCTGGAATCTATCCTAGATATGAACGTTTCGCATCGTTTCGCCATGTTTCGCCAAATGCCAAGTGCATCCAAAATCCAAATGCAAAAACTAAGGATAGATCCAGCAGATGCATTGCAGGCCTCCATCTCTGCGCCTTGAGCACCTGTGTCACTGATTTGAAACGGTGACCGGGCTGTGCGAGGCGTCACCACTTCGGAATGATGTTCCTTTCGTATCGTTCCATCATCAGTTGTATATGGATGATCTGGATGATGTATGGAGTACAATGGAATGCTTGGGGTGAGCCTCAGTGCAGTGGGTGCAGTTCCAAGTTTCGACTTTCAACGTAGGATTGAAAAGGTTTTGCCAAGCTTGAAGAGTTCAGGAGTTCAATCCATTTCAATCCAAGCCTTTTTTTGTTCATCAACGGCCATAAGTTTGGTTGATCTTGGTTGCTGACATCGGAGAGCACCAAAGCCTTTTCGTGGCAATAAGGGTTGCCCACATTCTCACCGTGGAATGCTTGTCAGATTTGAGGCAAGCTCCCTTGTTTAATGTACAGGGATCACAGGCAGCAGGGCTCCACTGTGCCGCTCTCATTCCTTGAAGTATCATAGTGGAAGTCATATGGAGTCGTGATAGATCATGAGAGAAATTAGCTGTTACATGTATCATCAGAGTATCATCATGTATCTGTGTGTCTTTTCTTGGGGATTGTGCAAGATATGCCAACTCAGGACATCGTTGCTTCTCGTTGCTTCAGTTTCTGCTTGCATCCTTTGGTTTCTTGAGCGGGTCATGTGGGAGCCCATGAAGCCCATACGTTTCCGCTGCTTGTATCAAGCCATATCAAGCCATCAAGGATGTCGACAGATGTCGAAAGAACCACGGCTCAGAAAGGGCTTGAGTCGGCTTGAGCAATTTCGAAGACCCGTGCCTGTTCGCATTCACGGTAGACGTTTCCAATGGAGTCGGTTTCCATTTCCTGTTTCTCTTCAGTTTTCCACCAAGTACACTTTGAGAGTCTGTTTTCCCCCTGTTCGCCTTGTTGATCCTTTATTTATCACTGGCGATCCGTTCAGGAATGCAAGTCTTCAAGCAATACCAATTTGCTCTGACGGTCACTGTCAGGCCGATGCAGACGTTGAGGACCGAGACTTCGAAGGCAGCAGTTTTGGACGCATTGTTACAGGTGATTCTCGAATGGTGATAATCATGGGATATCATCATTGTTTTTTGATGGTTTTAGGTGTTCTGGATGGTTTTGGGTTGGAGTGAGGCATGAGCTCCCTGTGAAAGTGAAAAGGCAAGACCAACTTAGCGGTTCAAAATTGGTTGAATAGATTGTTGTGGCCATGACTGCTAGTTGTTTGGCTTTGCGGCTTTGCCATGCTGCCAAGAGATTCCTGGAATTCGCCAATCCATTGTATCACACTTTGCCAAAGTGATCCTTTAACAGCCCCCGTTTCAGACCTTTCAGTTTCAAGACAGCGACTCAAACGTTCCGCAGATCGAACCCCGTTGATGTGGGCAGCACGCCACGGTCATTTAAATGTGGCAGGCCCCTCAGGATGATTTCAACTTCAACATATTTCAAAATATCTCAAGCAAATTATTCAATGGATTTGACTTGGATCGAAATTCACAAGCCCCTTCCAGGAAGCCGAGCAAAGATGTTGTTTTTTGATGTTTTACTTCAAGATCTGTAAGGTATCCTATGTTTTCCAAGACTTTCACAGTTCTTGGCCGTAGATCCTCCAGACTGCCAAGGTGAAACTTTTGCTCAGATTATGTCCAGATCTCACACATCGGGACAAGCAAGGTCTGCAGTCCACAGCTGCCAAATCGCCAAGACAATCCAGATCCCTTCAGAGTTCGGATTCTGTTTGCATTTTGTGGCTTTCGTTCAGCCAACACAGAAGATGTCAGGGTTTGCTGCACTCGACCAATGTCGAGAGCACCTGGAGATGCGTGCAGCTGTGATTATGGTATTTGCCTCAAACAAGGGGCAGCGTGGGCAGTGGCAGCATTTGATGGGAACGGATGAAAGACCAGAGCAATGAAAGATGTTCAAGCCTTCAAGAGATTTCAAGAGTGCCCTGAGGCACAAGAACAATGCATTCGGCTGGCTGATGGAGCCCAGCGCAATGATCTTCAGGCAAACACAGCCCTTTGTACCTACGTAGACTCAGTAGACCAGAATGCAACCGTAACGAACACGTTTGCGAAAGGACAGACAGCAGCTGTCACTGGAGATGATTTTAGGATTATGATTAATTATAAGGATTGAAGAATGATAAGATTGATAAGAATGTGCATTTTCGGGATGAAATTGCAATTTGACGCAATTTGATACCTTGCGAGGTGGTGGAGCACCTTCTTGAACGTGGGGCAATGCCTCGCTACAAGGCGCCACAAACACAACCAGTAGTTGGTCAAGGCCAAAGAGCTCAAGAGCTCTGTCACTTCATGCGGTAGTCATTTTTGTCTCTTTGCCTTGTTGCATCCTGTTGCACTATGCCATCTACTTCCGTACTGCGACACTCTCTCTCTCTCTCTCTCTGCACTAAGTGAGCGCCTTTTCAGCCCAGAAGCTTGTTGCAATCTTACAAATCTAAACTAAACAAAGCGCTGAAAGAAGGCAGACATATAAGTAGCATTAAGATGCATCAAGTAACATTGAGTACTTGTAGCATCGAGTGGCATTAAGTGGGCATTAGGTGGGCATTGTGTCCATGTGTGTCAGACGGTCCGATGACCCAATGGCCCCAAGTTGCCACAGGACGCTGGTGGCTGGACTCCCTTGACTTGGGCAGTGCTGCATGGCTCCGCAGAGATGGCACATGTGTTGGTGCGCCAGCAGCTCAGAGATCCATGACCAGCTACCAACAGCATCTATATATAATATGAATAATATTATATATATATTCAATCTATTCTATTATAAATCTATTATATTCATTTATATTCATTTATATTCATTTATATTTTATATTCTATATCCTATATTGTATATCCTCCTGGACCGAGTTCAAATGAGTTCAATTTCAGGTTACGGGGCTTCTCCGGAGCTTTTAGGTGCTGACTTCAGATTGCATATGACATGGTGGAATGTGGAATCGCTGCCTTGTTGCCTGCAGAGCAACTGCTGCATCCTCTGCAGGGGAAGATTCTGAGCTCGGTAGCCAGTTGTCAAGAAAAGGTCGACAAGTGGGTGGGTGTCTCAGAGGAGCGCATGCTAACACCAAGAGATGGGAGACACGTTATAGGGACAAAATATGATGACCTTGTTGGTTTCAAACGCCCGGCCAGGGAGAAGAACAAACAACACAAACTCCAGGTTTCAGGAGAAACTTGATAGAACTTGAGCGTTTTTCCATGACTGGACTGGAGCAAACCTCAGGTTTTCAAGTTGTGTCGCTTTCGGCCCGAAAAGATCCGAAGAGCAAACACAGAGGAGACAGCTAATGACAGCAAATCACGGAAATGGATTACACGCCGGTTGAAATGCTAAGACTAAGATGACTAAGACTACATGGGATTACATGGGATCTTTATAAAATCTTGTACAAACCATCTTGCTGTTGGACTATGACTATGACCCTTTCATACCATTTTGAAGATCATTTTGACCTATTTGTGATGCTGGAGATGGCCCAGGTGCACGCCTGGCCGCGGTGCTGGGGGCCAACACCCGATTGCTGCATGCTGCGCAGGTGCGGCATCCGGTTGCCCGGGCTCGGCGGTGACGAGTAAATTGTGTGTTTTGAGGCGTCAAATTTCACAGCAGCTGAAGCAGCCCTGGACCAGGGGGCGTGTCAGCGAGCTTAGATACCTGCAGTATCCTGCAGTCAAGTTTATCAAAGCCAAAGTCACCCAAATTCATGTTTGATTCATGAGTCCTTCGCACCCTTTGAAATAGCATTGCTTATGATTAATTGTTTTTCTCAGGCCCTGACTTCGCATTTTTTTGTGTGAACTTCAACGTTGAACTCCTCAACCTGCGCATGTGTACCAAGGTCCGAATGCAAAGCAGGCTAGGCAGTGAACAAGTGTAGTTCATGGTACTGTATAATGACTAAACATAATTATATAAACCTGGTTGGTGGTTTCAAACATTTTTTTTCCCAAAATGCATTGGGATAATCCTTCCCATTGACTAATATTTTTCAGAGGGGTTGAAACCACCAACCAGAAACACAATTAATATGACTGCGATATGTGGCTCCAAAGCAAACTCCAGTAGCAAAGTCACACGAGCTGTTCAGGGACACGACGGTGGTGGAGGAGGGCAAGCACAACGGGAAGGCCGTGATGTTTGGCATATTTGATGCGTATGTGCCAGTCATTGCAATGTCTCCAAGTGGAAGAAGCATTCAAGTTTATGACATGTATGACATGTTGACATGTATGACATCCATGAAATGTGATTGATTTCTTTGACACACATTGCACTCGAAAGTGATTTATCGACCTCCAGTCCTGCAAATGCTGGTCGCAGGCAAGACCACTGTTGCGGACCGGCAGGAGAAACCAAATGCACCGCAGTACTTGGCCTGGAGCAACTAGGCGAACTAGGTTTGCCATGGTCAACTCCCGTGCTTTCACGTCTTGAAGATTCTAAAAGTCTAACTATTGCGATCTATTGCGCATGAAAATCTGAAGGATGAAATCATCGCTGGTGCAGAAGAAGCGGCACTTTGCGGTGAAGAGTTGGGTTCCGAGCTACCACGGGAGTAGTCAGAGATTGAAAGCAGATCTGGTTGAATCCATTTCTGAAGATTCGAAAAGCAAAACACTGAGCCGATGATTCGCCGAGACTTTTCAGAGTTTTCAATGAGTCACACTGTACTGTGTGAATTTGCTGCTAGCAGGCCAATTGGAGAAGGCTCTGGTCGGCACATGTCAGTCACTGAGTCTCATCATGTCTCAACCATTCCCAACCTCTTTGTGTGTCCTTCAACCTGTGAGAATGCCATAGAATGCCATAGAATGCCATAGAATGCCATAGAATGCCATAGAATGCCATAGAATGCCATAGTCTTTCTGAGTCTTTCTGCACTTGAAGGACTGCCACAATGTGGGCAGCTCGACATGGTCATGCAGATCTTGCAAGGAGCTCAACGTGATGCCTTGAGAAATCTTGAGAATGTTTGAGACAGGTCATGGAAACAGGTCATCAGGTCATCAGGTCATATCTTGAAGTTGGAAGATTTGGAAGTTGGAATGCCAGGGATGCCATGGAAGCCATGACCTGAGGTCAGACTGCTCGGGTTGCACAAGGCCGACATGAATTTACGCCATGGCCTTAAGGATCCTTAAGGGAGCCTCGGATAGGCGACACGGATAGGCGACCTGTGAAACCTGTGGCGACCTGTGGCGACCTGTGGCGACCTGTGGCGACCTGTGGCGACCAAGGCGATGCGCGGGGATGGACTGCAGCCCTCTGGGGAGCTCTGAAGGGTGATGCTGGGCACTGAAAAACACCCAAAATCAAACAGTTGGGACGCCAGTTACGCCAGTTGTGCAAACAAAATCAAACAAAGATATCATAAGATATCAAAGCATTCAAAGATATTCAAAGCGATAGGTCTGCACATTGCAAACCGGCGATATTGGTGAATATTGATCATTTCTGTGGATTGTTGATAAGTTGAATACGTTGAACTACCTTTCAACTTATAGAAAATCTAACAGATATGTCAAAGGGATTTAAAGGTTTCAATTTGGCACAGTTTGTGAGCATGGTCTGTATGTTGCAACCTAGGCTGAGACCATCTCTGTTTTGCACTTCTTCAAGGCATTGCTGGAAATGCTTTGATTATTTTTTTTAGTTAGTTTGTTGCTTCTAGGCATGAGAATGACAGATCTTTGTTGCTCGAGGCAGACAATCACACATTCGTATACTCAGAGTATCATGAGTATTACACAGTATTTCCCCCTTGGAAAAGACAGCGGCCCAAGTCGTAATAAGTTTCTTGCCGTTCAGCAAGTTTGCGAGGCCGACCTGCAGCAACGAAGCTGGGAAGGTGATTCCACGATCCATCTTTGTGTCCGCTGTGACCACGCTGCAGCTTTGCAGTTTTGGCCTGAGAGATGGTGCTGAAGATGATGATGTGGGTTTGTGTGTGCTGAACTATCTTAGATTTTAGATTATGTTAGATGATTTTAGATGATTGTAGATTATTGTAGATTATTGTAGATGATTTTAGATGATTATGTTAGATGCATGGGTTTGTGTGGAAGACGAACCCAGTTCATCCGGGAAATGTTTGTGCTTTTAAGCCATTGGACATCACTGGAAACTTGCCTGGCTCAGCTTCACAGAGTTGGCAAAGTCCACTCGTTTGCTGATTTTGCCATATTTTTTGCCTAGCAATTTGAATCAGGTCTGCTTTCGGTTGTAGATCTTAAAAGACCCACCGAGCTTACTTCCGAAGACAGAGTTCGCATGTCAGGTTTGACAGGAACTTTAGGTCATCAATATTCATCAATACAGTCAATGGTCAGGTGGAATAATGATGAGTAGCATATAATAATATCACAATTCACAATACCACCATATTAATCAATGATATTGAATGTGGAATATTGAAATACTGTCAATAGTCATGTGCATGTGGATACTCGTTCTGAAGTGATCTTTGAGCCAAATGTCAAGCGCTTCTATGGCGAAGTCCAATGCTTTCGCATATCACCACCTCCCAGGCCGGAATGTTGGATAATTGTGGGACCAATCCCCCATATACATCCAATATATTTAATACAATAATACATCTGTATTGGTGGCAAATCTATGTCATGTATATCATCTGTATTGGTGGCACGGTGCTGCCAGTCCACAGAAGATCTAGCAAGTGATCAGCCTGTTTTTGGTGAGGCACATTTTTACATAAATATCGGTGGCACCTTTCTGGACTTGGCAGGTAAGCACCAAAGATGTGTCTACCACAATCAGTGCATTTGCCAAAGCCTCAAATTGCATTGGTAAATTCAGACGAGAAATCCAAGCAGCCACTTTTGCACCTCGATGACTGAATCCCAGGCAGATGCCGAGGAGGTGCATTTGCTGAATCTCATCGTTCAACGCGGACTTTGTATTTCGAACTGCCAGGTGTTTGGGTACATTCAACAGCTCCACAGTGCTGGATTCAAGCCCAATGCCGCGCACTTTGCAAGTGCAATCCGTTCCTGCGCAAAGGAAGCTCGGCAAAGAGTTGATATATATATATACACATAAGTATGTATGTATGTATATATATATATTATATTATATTATATTATATTATTTTATTATATTATATTATATTATATTTATATTATATTTATATTATATATTATATGATATATATGATATATATGATATATATGATATATATGATATATATGATATATATGATATATATGATATATATGATATATATGATATATATGATATATATGATATATGTGATATATGTGATATATGTGATATATGTGATATATGTGATATATGTGATATATGTGATATATGTGATATATATGATATATATGATATATATGATATATATGATATATATATATGTGTGTCATACATATAATTTAAAAAAATGTAATATAATATAATATAATATGATATAATATAATATAATATAACATAATATATATATATATACACATAATATATTATATTGGAAATGCTGTTCTAGGCTTTCGGATCTACATATCCAGAAAGTGAGTGTGCATGAACATTTATGAACCGTTTGGAAACCATGTTTTCCTGTTCATACGGCAACCACACCTGCTTTTGGCTTTCAAGTCGAGCTTGGTAGGGCAGTCAACAAGCCATCATGGTGCTGCAGATACTTCTCACAACCAGAGTGCTCAGCAGGCAGTCTGAAGCATCGCACCATGTGCTTTTCACCTTTCAGAGAAGGTACGCAGCTGGCAAAGAGCACTGGCATTGTTCAACCTCATGGCAGAATGGAGAGTGGAAAGGCCTGACTGGCATTGGGGTTGATTATTCTTGAACCAATTTTTGGTTTACTTATAATGTTTACTTGTTTAAGGCTCCTGTCTCTGTCTTTTTTCCAGGGACGTTGTGGTCCACAATGCCGCTCTAACCGCCTGCCGCGGCGGCAGTCGCTGGGAATTGGCGCTGGCACTGCTCCCTCCCGGAAGGCAGAGATACGGTGGGTGAACCATGGAACTCCAGGCAGATTCAAACAGCACCTGCCGAGCCCCGCAGGACAACCGTGTCTTACAATTCAGCCATCAGCGCCATGGGTGCTTCAGCTGCAAGATCCGGAGAGAAAAACGTGTAATTTGACAGATTTGACTGACCTCATTGGGTTTGTCCATGCTTGAGATTTTGTTGGGTCTGGAGCTGTTTTGTTAGCACTAAGTTGGCAGTGATAATATGTTGGTTAGTGGCACTGGCAAAGCTCGGCGGAACTAGTTCACCCAGAACTTTGCACTTCCCAAGGTGCCAGCGCCCAATGGCACTTGGCCCTTGCACTTCTTGCAGAGGCTATCGCTGATATCCAACACATAGCATCGTTGGAAAATAGGGTACCACCAAAATGTTGTCATCATCATTTTCCCATAGTTTCCCCATTCAGAGACCATCAGAGACCGTTTTTGGGAGATTTTGGGAGTGTCTCCCATTTTCAGACAAAAATCGATCGTTTCTCGCGGGCGGATTGTGCAGGTGTCCCTGCAGAGGCTGCAGACAAGCAGCATAACCTACAGCAGCAGCATCGGCGCTTGCGAGGTGCACCATGGCGTGGGCCGTTAAGAAGAAGCATCGTGAAACAATGTGAAACACATAGAAATCCTGCTGATATATAATATGTATATAATTGTTTATTAAATATGATATATAATTATAGTCTTTGATGATACTATAACTGTAGTATGAATATACTATGACTACGCCATTATGTACCCTTGTAGGTGGCACCAGCGAATTCAACCCCTTGGAAGGCCGCAAGCGCTTGGCAGTCTGCCCTGGAAGTGCAGCTCGGAAGAGAAGAATTTGTTAATCTGCTCAAGCACATCAGGTGAGCAGTGTTCAAAACCCCTGTTGATCGATGACTATAGTGGGGGGTCATACTACCCAAATCTACCCAATATATTGGGGGTACTTGGGGATCATAACAGCCCACTATGGGAATCCTTACTAACCAACCAGTAGAAAGGCACGACGTTTCGGGTTCTGAACACAGCTCAGGTTTGCCGCAACGCCCCAAAGTTTTCTGGGCGATGCTGTGCCGCGCGCGTTGCTTGCTGCCAAAGTTGCCTCGTGGGCCACAGCCGTCGACGTGGTGAACAAAGCCAAGGCCCCGAGATGTCCAATTACTCAGGCCTCGGGCCTTTGTCTCTGAAGTACAAATGCAATATATTTCAATGATGTTCAATAGGATTTTATTTGATTAAGGAGGTCTAGTTTTTTGGGGTTTGTGTCTGTTTTTTTTGATGTTGAGACGGAAGGAGGAACGAAGGAAGGCAGGGAGGGAGGGAGGGAGGAAGGAAGGAGAGAGGGAGGGAGGGACGAAGGAAGGAAGGAAGTACTTAAACCTGAAACCAACCCTAAAACAACCCATAAAGAAACCTTAAACCAACCCTAAACAAACCCTAAACCAACCCCAAATAGCGATTAAGCCAACCCTAAATAAACCCGAAACCAAACTTCAATAAATCTTAAGACCCTGAATGAACCTTAAAACGTCAAGCCAATTTTGAGAAAACCCTAAACCAACCCTAAATAAATTCCAAAACCAACCCTAGATAAACCCCAAACCATCCTTACCCTAAAGCCTTACCCTAAGGAAATCCGAAGCCAACCTGCAAACAAACCCTAAACCAACCCTAACTAACCCTTAAACCAACCGATAACCGACATGTTGCAAACACCATGCGCATGAAAGATCCAAGCTCCAAAATGTTGCAAATGCCTAAAATAAACACCCAAACCAACCCTAAATAGATTTTAAACCAACGCTAAACAAACCCCAACAAAGCCTTAACTAAGCTTTAAACGAACCCTACAAAGCCTAAACCAACCCTGAATAACATCCAACAACACCTTAAACAAATCCTAAACCAACCCTAAATATATCATAAACCGACCTTCAATAAACCTACACAAACCCTAAGCCAACCCCAAATAAAGTTAAACCACACCTTGCCCAGAAAACGGGAAAACACGGGAAAACATCAAAAAAAAATACAACCCTTTGATTGAAGATGATTAAGGCATCCATGATGTATTCGTTTGAAGCAGGAAAGGTGTGTTTGACGTTTGCTCTACAGCATGAAAGCAAATGGCCGAAGCAAATGACCGAAGCAAATGGCCGCAGCATCAGTTTGGGTCAGCTTGACATGATATCGACGGAAACCTGCACATTGTTATAGGCTGGCGGAGTTCAAACCGATGCTTCTTTCTGGAATGCGGCAGCAGCAGCCTGCAAGGCAGTGACGGTACTTTGCAGTGCAAAACATCTCTTCATATCTATTTTTTTTTCATGTGACAAGCCGATTATTCCAGGGACCGCTTGGTTGAGGCCTCTTGGCAAACCAGCTTGGCCATCTGCCCTTCAAACAAGGAGGCTGCACGCAGCTTCAACGAAGGCCAGGAAGTATATCACGGGAACATTATCCTTAGTTTTCCGTACCGTAGACTTCCCCGAACTATGCTGAGGTGAACTGAACGCAGCTCTGCTGTAGATGGAAGCAGAGTGGAAGCACCTAACTGATGATGAACTAATGAGACTAAACATTTGATAACATTTGTACAAAATGATCCTGACTGATCTTGAATCTTGTAAGGTGGAAGAAACATGAACAAACCCTGCTGTGTCTTTTTGTCTTGATTTGCTCAGAAACAGGTTATTGTTGGCAAGCTTCAATGGCAATTCTCGATCTGCACCAGCCTCAGTTTGCTCATGGTGGATCAATGCATCCAGCCAAACTATATATATTTATATATATATATATGTATATATATATATTTATATATATGTATATATATATATACATATATATATATAATTATATATATATATTTGGGTAAATTATAAAGACCTCACTGCGACCTCACTACAATCATGGTTAGTACGGGGAAACATCCCCAAGATAGCCTTTTTTCAGGTTAGTGAATTATAATTGTAGCGTCCTCTTTCAGTAATTCTTTTAGAATCAATTGGACGGGTTAACTCCATCGAAGTTCGCTCGTATAAATCGATTTATGCAAACAAGTCTACAATATTGGGGTTCTCTTCACTTCGAAAACTGCTTCTTAGTCTTAGGGAGAATCGAAGAACCATCAAAAAAGATTGCGGCAAGACGTGCATGCCGCCCTGCAATATCTAAAAGGCTTCCTGGCAAGGGCATGGCCAGCCCAGATGCAGCAGCACGTGCTGAATGCTGGGCAGCAGCCCTAGGTCACTATGGGTGAGAGAAAGGGTGGCCGCAGGTAGCGGTTTGGACTTGTCAAGTCAAAATCGATCAAAAAATAGGCCCATCCTCACGTAATGGTAGTGAGTGTCAGTCAGACATTTGTTTAGTCATGGCGTTGTAAGAGGTTTTTGCTCGCTACGGGCAATCATTCCGCAGCTACATCTTGTGACCCTACATCTTGGGACAGCAAAGTTCTTGCTTCATACACCAGCCAAAAGCAAAAGGTAGCATTGTGGTTGATATTGGTTGATTCATGGGATCTCATTCGTAACTTCGTAACGCAGCCAGGCATCCTTTGGCACACAGGCGCAGAGCCCAGCATGTCTGACTTAAACTCAGCACGGGCGCCAAGATGTGGACTGACCATGACTGACCAACATAGCAGCTGGAGTTGCCTCAGTTCCTTGCATGCCTTCCGTGTGAATGTGCATCTACACCAGATTTCAATGGTGGATATATATATATATAATGTTATAAATATATATATATATACATATGGGCTTATGTTTTCCTTCTGTAGGTAGCTGTGGCACTTGAGAAGCAGGGCATGGAGGAGCCATTGCGTTGATGAAATCGGTGGGAAGCTGTGCCACGAGCAGTTGACTTGCGCTGTCCGTCAACTTAACCGTGACAGTTTGCATTTCATGGATTTAAAATGGGGGGTCCCCAAAATCCCGCTGGTTGTAGGTAGAATTATGCTTAGGATAAACCATGGATAAACCATGAGGGTTGGGGTTAGGATAAACCTCCTAACTTCCACAAACCTGTGATTCTTTGACAGGAGGCAGTTCAAGACTTGCTGCTTCGTGGCTTCCAGAACCGGCTGCGGCGAAGGCCCTATGCACCAAGAAGCTTCGTGGCTAAGGCTGCGCAAAGGGAGCCTGTGGGGTGGAAATCGAATTCACTTCCAACATAATGATATGACCGTTGTGACCATTGTATGACCATTGTATGACCGTTAAATATGAAATCCATAGATGTTGAAATCCATGGAAACCCTTGTGCCTTCAAACCTGACTTCCACAACCCTTCGACATCTAGCACCATACAAATATGATCAAACATGTCCGAGTCTAGACATTTGCTGTAAAAACATGCAAAAACAAAGATTTGCTGGAGCCATTGAAACTCGACCTTAGCCCAAAGTGCCACATTTTTCAGCAACCCTAATATAACATGCGGATATGTGTGGTAGATCCTAGTCCTAGTTGTCAAACTTTGCAGAGATTTGCAGAGCCATGCATAATGCATATAATTATGTATTAATATAATAGCAGGAGGAGCAACTCGGACAAATCCTTCCAATCTGAACCTTTGGAATCTACTGAAAAAACATGAAAAAACTATAAGACATTCACCTTCTGCAAGGGCTATTCAAGAACTAGCAGGTGGACTTGCCTGACATGGCTGATATTCGTTGGGGCGAGATATGGCAAGACCAACTCTCTGATTTGGAACTACTCACGGTATATATCGGTATATTAGTTTGCGGTTTCAGGCCCAAGAACGCCTCGGAAGAAGAGCTTCTGTTCGACAGCTCCTGCGTTCCGCAGCACGCGAGCCAAAGCGGACAGTGCGCTTGAATCTGGGAAGAGCAGACGAGGATTGCAGTTTGGTCAGTTTGGATAGTTTGGTTTCTGCAGAAAAATCTGACACGTTCTGACCGAAAAATCACATCCCGTTGTTCCCATGGCGCAGGGTCTCTTGCAGCAACTTCATGCAGACGGTTGGGCACCGCAGCCATTGCCCTGGTGTGCAGATGCCTTTGTGGTGCATGGTGAATCGTTGGGTCACCACCAGGCGCTGGCAGAACTGCATGAGGCTATAATGGGACCAAATTTGTGACTTCAGTCATCTACAATCGTCTATAAATATCTGTAATCTATGGTTTACAGCCTTATATGATCCTATAGCATCTTATAAGATATCTGACTAACAATCTATAACAGTACTATGTTGTACCATAGCCATCTATAATCATCTATATTGAATTTGTAGTTCAATGTAGTTTACAGCTTTATATGACATATAGCCCTATATCATCTTGTTACATCTATGCCTTAAAATCGTGTCTTTTTTTTCGAGCGCTGATAGCTCCAAGCACTCTCGCGAGGCGCACCTTTCGGGTCAGCTCTATTTCCAGGAGCCAACATCAATGATTCCACCGCTTGCTTTGCAAGAGGCTTTGGATGCCAAGAAGCCAGGTCGGTCCCATGACAACCATGACAGCATCAGCATCATTCTCCATATCTCCCTGTTGGTGTTTCTTTTCAATATCGATCCCATGATCACCATGATCCAACAGTCTACACCAATGATCCAAAGGCAATGCATTTCTCATTCCAACGCTTCCAGGTCAATATGTACGAGTCTTGGATCTTTGTGCGGCTCCAGGCAGCAAGGCCTGAAGTTCTCGTGTTTTTCCATATCCTTCATGGCGAAACAGCGAATTGTGATGAGGCAAGTCAGCTGGCTATTTGGTTGCACAACAGCAGGGAAGCCGAGAAGTATGTTGGTGGAAGTTTGGGTCTCACAAGGAGTTGGTCAATGGTGACATGATTTCAAACTTTCTCCAAGGCAGGCGATGAAATCGCTGCATTTAAAAATCATGAAAAAAACGCACTCGCAGTATTTAAAAATGCCAGCCGATTCCGTCATTCTTGACTTGCAGTACAGTGGTTGCTTGGTAATCATAGCCTCCCTTTGCAACAGACCATTGTCCCAGATTTCTGGACTTGGTTTAAGGCTGAACGGATCATTTACTTCCCCCTACATTTATCTACGTGGTTAAATTCCAGGGTGTCCTGTATTTGTTTCTCGTCAAATTTCCCATGTACCAATCCATTTCACATTGGCATACTCCCACCGTCTTCGCCTCAAACGTTTTGCCGCTTTACCAAGGGCCTGGTGGAGGCCTGCTGGTGGCCAACGAGCCAAGACGCATGGCTGCAGCATCCAAATTCCTCGCGATGAAGCGTTCAAGACGGGGATCATAGAAAAGAATTGCGTTATATAGAATACTTGGAAGAAGATGGAATACCTGTGGATCCTGTGTGCGTATTACAGAAGTTTCCTGTCTATGTCTCTACATCACTCAAATCGTCCATTTCCGCTTCGTTCAGTTTGCAGGGTCAGCGCTGTCAGCATAAGCTCCATGCACGTGTTTAACAGTTACGTTTGAGTGGAGTGATTTTCCGTGTGCTGAACTCCATCGGGTGGATGTTGTACAATGTTGTACATCTACTTCAGTGGATCATAAGTTTAGTATAGTCTACTAGTCTACTACTTTATACATCTTTATACTACTTTGGCATTTTTACAATGATGACGGATAAGCCTCAAGCAATTTGAGAGGTTTTTGCCGCACGACACCAAGCTAAATGTATTGACCGATGAAGTGTGTCCTGAGGTGAGGAGCGAGCAGAGAAGCTTCGGACAAATCTGTTGCGCTCAGGAGTGGTAAATGTGCTAGTTCCCTGGTAGCATTGAATAGCATTGATGGAGTTTGAGGTGGATCTAGGAGTGATCTAGGTGGAGTCTGAGGAGTGACTTGAAGGATGTAGATTGTCTCCACGGATTGCGCCTGCGAAATGTACAAATTCTCTTCCAAACCTCACGAGTACCTCACGTCTCTCCCTCCAGTAGCTTGGTGTTTTAGCATGCAAGGAGTCTTGATTGTCTCGATTGTCAAACGATGCTTGTTACGGTATGTTATGTTTGCTTTCGCCATTTGGATCCATTTGGCGTCCGCAGATCCGGGCAGATCCGCAGTGCCCAAGGTGACTGTCATGGATGGCCGCGAAATGGACGCCTTGGTTCCTGAAAGCTTCGATGCGATTCTCCTAGACGCCCCATGTTCTTGTGAGGGCAACATACGAAAGGAGTGATGACATGTGATGAGATGCGTGTATTGCTTGCCAAGCAAATGCATTTGCCCTAAGATTCGCCATTTCACAACCATGTTTTTGCATGATGAATTACTGGACCCAGAGCCTCAAACTCTGAGTGTGTTGTTTCGTCTTACGTTGTCTTGCACGAAACCTCAAATGCCAATTGGTTTTGAGATGGTGACAACATCTAATTACTCCAATCTGGGCTGCGTCTCAGTCTAAGAAGTGCTGGTTTGTACCCTCGCATCTTTTCCATTCTTTTCCATCCTCGAAACACTGTAGGGAGTCTTTTCGAGTCATTTTTGCCTTGTTTTCCTTATTTTTCTCATTTTGGATATCGCTATATATTACTCAAATTTACTCAAATATATTGCCAGTATCTCCCATGAGAGTTTTTGCTCCGCCTGTAGGAGCCCATTGCTTTGCTTCGTGGAGCTGCTTCATCTGGGCCAAAGAATCCACTGGTGACTTGGTCGGGAGAAGGCGTGGTATCCTTTAGTATCCTTGTAACATCTTGGAACAATTTAGAACATCTTGGAACTCTGGTGAAGCATCCCAGAATCGATCAGAATCTATAGATGTCTGCCCTCTGTCCGGCAGTGTTTCTACGCATTTGCTAGCTTGTGTGCTGTGCAGTGCATGTTTCTTTGCTTTGCGTGTGTTTGTGTGTGTGGTACTTCGGTTTGAGAAATTGTGCTTGTTGCGTCTATTCATTCCTGTTCATGTCTTCTCTACGTTGCATAGGGCTGTGTGCGTGAGAGAGAGAGAGAGAGAGATATCGTGGCGGCAGGTTTTGTTGGGTGATTCAGTCCGAGCTTTCTAGTAGCGTCCAGAAGAAGCATGATGTTCGGACGTTGCCAAATTGTTGCATTGTGGGATTTTCCGTGTCTCTAAACTATATATTGAGATTCCTCCCGCAGGCGTGCGGTGTAAGTTTGCCTTGGGTAGCGTTTCTAATGCTAAAGCTTTCAACCTTAGGTTCTCAAGCAGCAGGAACTACTCCACAGCGCTTGGCATGCATTGAGTCCAGGAGGAGATTCGCTGCAAACGTCCGGTACTCATAGGATGGGCAATGCTGAGATCATCTGAGATCCACTGAGATGGACGCAGATGTAATAGACTTGTGAACGGTTATTTAATGTTATTTAAATGAGAGGAACCAAGCCGCATCAGCTTTTTTCAAGATTTTGGACATTCGGCTTGGTGCAGGATGCCTCGTTTATTCGACTTGTACCTTTGATGAATGGCAAAATGAGATTCAATGCAGAAGGTTCCTGGAGGCACCTGTTGCACCGCCTTCACTCATCGAGATCTTGTGCACAGTGCTGCCTTCGATGCAAGCTCTGGGGATGCGAAGAATGATGCGGGAAAATGTTGTGGTTGGAACATGTTGGAACACTACACAATCGATCTTACACGTACATGTATATATCTGCACATGTGCATGTATGTTATATAGACATATGGTGTAATGTATTGCCACAGCAAGGTACTGTACGATTACCGATATATAATAATGAATTGTAATTATAATGATATATTATGAATTTATTTATTTATTTATTGTTTTATTTTGTTTTATTTATTTATTATTATTTATTTATTTATACTGGCCGGCCTATAGCAACAGTATACACAGTCTGTTGAAGTCCTCTTGCTCCAGATTGCAAGTAGTATTTGTCCAGCCTTGGAACCTTTGAAAGTGACGAAACTCCTAGGGGTCCACGTTGGCCAAAAACAGATGCAGGCTTTGGATGACGTAGAAGTCCTGCAGACAGCTGCACTCGAGGGCAGTATGCTTCGGGTTTGGCCACACCACTGGGACACGGTGCGAACTCAGAGTTTGACGGCCGTATATTGCTGGAGTGTGCTCTCATTTGCTGCTTGTGCATTTTTATCCTGCTTGATGACTGGCTAGATGTGGTTAATTTTTATCCCCATGCCTATCTATTCCAACTGCAGATTGTTCTATCAATGCACATTGTTCTTCTCGTCACCACTGGCCACACCGCCAAAATACAAAATTCCTGCCCCATGGACTGAAACAATTCAACAAGAGCGAAACAAGGATTGAATATGACTGGATTGTACTTTTAGCGCCGGAAAACTACACCAAATCAAAGGTAATGTTCTGTCTTTTTCCACAAAGAACCATAGAAAAGCATACTCATGGCTGCCTAGGCAATATTCAGTTGGGCAAGCTGGCCGGTAGGTTTCCGTAACTGTTGGCTGTGGATACACTCATCTTTTTCTCTGAGAGGAAGGCTTCTTTGTCTCCGCTTTCCAGAAGTGTGAGAAAGACATGCAGGAAGACGTCCAGGACCTGGGCAGAGGCGTCGCATTCTTGTTTGAATGGAGTTGCGCTGGCGTGGGCCCGATTCCGATTGTAGTTTACTAATTATTATTATTTTTGCTATATTAATTTGTATTATATCATATTATATTATATCATATTATATTGTATTGTATTATATACGTATATTATACATATTTGCCAATTTGCAATATCATATGATATATAATGTATATATACATATATATAAATTATGTAATTTTTAAGTATACATACATATGTATATATATAATTACATACATATTATGTAATATATACATTTAGTTAATACATGTGTACATCATATCATCGTTTGCATGAAACATGTGTGCCTCTTCTGTGCCCAAGTCGAGGAGACTTCGGAGCCCGAAGCGCCTCGTGGATTTTGTCAGCTCAGTCAGGAACAGCGCTGGGAGGTCCAAAGGCCCAGGGTCGCTAGTGTGAACCTGGGATTTCGCCAACAAAAGTTGTGATCCAACAAACAACGGGGATGTAGTTTAGTGGAACATCACCAAGAAAATTAGGGGTGTTTGGGTGTGTCTGAAAATGGGGTCTACCCATAGTGGTGGCAATCCTATGATTCTTATGGGGAAATGATGATAAACTAGTGGTTTTTGGGGGATGCCGTTTTCAGACAATCCCATTTGCTCAGTTTGATGGTCTGAATTTCATATACGTTCAGATGTCGCGGAACCTCTTGTGTCATAAGTTGTGAAACAATGCCGCCATGTTGCAAGGCTCGTGAAAGAGTTTGGAATCTCGCCTAAGACCATGGTCTCTGGGCCACAAAGTGAGGCGCCGATATGCCAATTCTTTTCCATGGGCTCCCTTTACGAAAACAAAGAAGGGGCTGGAGCTTCACTCCCAGAACAATGAGGTTCATAGGATTTCAGAGGTGGACAGACATTTTAAAGGTTCCCCAAGGGAGTGGAAAGTGAATTGCATTTTGTATCTTTGTGCTTGGCATGCAATCGCTGCAATGCGTATATTGGCTCGAAGTGTAGTAATTTCAAGACATTCGGCGGTAGTTGGGATGGATTCTTTGAATCCAGCCATGGAAGCCATGGAGGCTTCCATGGAAGCCAAAAGGGTTGTTCGGGCGCTAGAGGAACGTTTGGTCTTTAGGGACAACTACAAGAGTCAAGCCCAGGAGGCCCCACTACCCAGCATGACATATCCCGCGCGTGTTAATCTCATCATTGGAGGCATTCTGCGCGCTGCATCAAATGTCCAAGGTGTAGAAGTGCGGGCGTTTGGTTCTTCCGCCAACGGATTTGGAGATGCTTCGTCAGATGTGGACGTGGTCTTAGCAGCGACAGGAACAAATCTCGTGCAAGGTCTGGAGCTAGGGCCAAACGGACTCGTTGATCTCGCACCTCGAGTCTTGAGAAAACTTGAACGGCGCTTGCAGATGCAAGGCTTCAAAATATTACAACGTATCTTGCATGCACGTATTCCAATTCTGAAAATGAGCATGGCACTGCCTTCAGGCAAGGCTCTTGAGTGTGACTTATCTGTGAACAATTTGCTTCCAGTCTTCAACACCAAATTGCTGAAGACTTATGCTGAGATCAACCCCCATGTGGTCGACCTCGTTCAGACCTGCAAAGAATGGGCCAAAGAACATGGAGTTCACGGCGCGGCTCGTGGCCATCTCTCCTCTTATGCTTTCACTCTCATGGTGATTTTCTTCCTGCAGATTCGTGGTGATTTGCCATGCTTGCAGGGCGATGCCGAATCCAAACCTGAATGGTACATTGAAGATCAGAAGAAATACAATGTCTACATTGATGAAACAAGTGATTTCAGCGAGTTTGCTGAGAGGAACATGTCTACATTTGGCGACTTCATACGTTTCTATCGCAACGAGTTCAGATGGGGAGAGTGGGTAGTGTCCATTCGGACAGGAAAGTGCCTCAGTTTGAAAAGATATCCAAGATTGACCAAGCAGCCCAGAAGCGGAGTTGCTCCTTTCGAGGTGTTCTACTTCATCCACATTGAGGATCCCTTTGACATCGGAAGAAACCTACATTGTGTTCTGGGACCTCAAAAAAATCAGAAGCTCTGGGATGCCTTTGTTGAGTCAACTCCGACTGTAAGACGCTGGAGGAGAGGATATTGATGCTTTGTTTGGCCAAGGAATGTCACAGCCTTATGTGGGCACAAGGCCTGTCACATTACCTTTTTGGCTGCCAAAAGCCTCCAACCCCCAAAGAGGAGCGAGGCAGATCTGAGGCAACCCCTTGGAGATGAAAACTGCAAGGGCCTTGTGGCCCTGCAAAGTAGATTTACTGCGCAATGCCGTCCTGACATTTGGCTCTTTCTTTACAGCAATCGCTGATGTTGTCAGGATTCTGCGGTTTGCTTTGAGACTGTTTTTCAACATTGGAAGCCTTTTGGATTCTCATGGGCTTGATTTCCTGCCTTTTGTTGAAGCCTTTGTGTTTAAAACTCGACGTCATACAATCTTAATTGGAGGTTTGGATGCTGCCCGAACTTGGGAAACTGGAAAAGCTACGGCAGCGCAGGGGCACCAAATTTCTTTCTTCAGATTGCTTGGGAGATAGAGAGAGAGGTGGAGGGAGAGATGGGTAGATCTGGAAAGTTTTGGCCGATAAGAGAGACAGAGCAACCAGGATGAAATGGGCATGTGGATTTTGCACCACAGCATACCCGACAGCACATGCTGGCATGTTTTTTGCCATCTTATTTTGCCAGTGTTTGTCATCGTTTGTGTTTGGACAGTGGCTAAGCTACGGTTCCAGATGATGTTACTCTGTTACTCCGCCCTGAGGCGCAAGGGAGCCTGGCTTGCTGCTGACACGCCAAGATGAGGCTCAACCACATTGAGTGATCCACCAGCATCCAGCAGACTTCCTTTATCTTCGTTTGCTGACTCCTTGAAGTCCAAGAGTCGCCGAGTCCGAGTTGAGCGGGTTTGGACAAAGCACCATAACCTCAATGATTCTTTGAAGAAAGACCTACTGTAAAGTTTACTGTAAAGTTTGCAAATCAGACATTTGTTGAATTGGATCGAAGTTTGTCAAAACATCAAAGTATATCAAAGTGCGTCGCTTCCAGATTTTCCAGGCTTCCGCAGAACTGCGACTTGTGGCTGGAGCACCTCTGAAAAACAGCGCTCGTGGCTGGGCGTCCTTGCTGGCTGATGTGGTGCGGAGACCTGGAGCAGCAAACGCGATAGGGAGCTCAGAGACGCGAAGAGGTTGAAACATAGTATAGATATATTATGTATGTATGTATATGTATATATAATGAAATATATGATAAGGATTGAGAAGGAAATGACAAAAAGATACAAAAAGTTACTCTACAGTAAGAGGGTGTCACGGTTTCACAAGATTTGATGTGTCTTCAACAGGGAAAGATGGAATGGAATTTGACTCATTGATGCCAAGTTGAAGACTGTGAAACACTGCGGTGCAATGAGACTGAATATACATGCAGTAATTAGTAATAACAATGCCTAGGTGTCTTTGGCAGTGTGGCATTTCATGCGTCTGTCCACCGAGGAGGGCAGCCTCTCAATGTTGCTGCTTGGATAGAGGGTATGTCAAGCACAGATGCAGCTTGATGCTTCTCCACACTTCTCCAACAACAAAAAGATTAGGGTGCCCAATGGTTGTAGACAACTCCTGGGAGAAGCTGCATCCAAGTCTTGCATACTTTCTCCACGGTTGTACATTGTTGTAGATCGTTTTGTATCACTGGGGATGTTACGCATTGTTGGTATGTGGCCTGTACCAAGGAACATGTACCTCGACCTTTGTGCCAGTGAAGGGGACTTGCAAGCTGCACAGCGTGTGTACCAGGACATGCTCAGGCGACTTCTGGTTTAAACCGCACCTTGATAACCAGTACAGAATGTATCAGAACATTGTATTACAATATATTATATTATTATATTACAGTAAAAGAATACATGAGATGACTCAAAGTTCAAAGGGGACAGACAAGTCGTCTTACTTTTGTTTAGTCCATTTGACATGTGCCTTTCTACCGAAAGCCGTGATGCATTTAGCCTTAGCAGCTGTACAGGCGAGGCTTGAAGCCAGATCGCATGACTCGCAGAAGCTTGGCAAAGGTGCACCTGCGCTGCCGGTGTGGAAGGGAGATCAAGGGACCTTGCAGCGGCTGGAGCTGTTAAAACATACTGTACAGCATACTGCAGCAATTTGCTACTGTAATGGTTAAAAAGTTCGGAACTATACAGTAAGTTCTTGCCAGAGCCTTCAAAATGCAAACGTTGCTGCTGGCCTTCCCGCCAGGCGAGAAGAAGGGAACGCAATCCAGAGACCCGAAAAAGTGCCCAATGTGCGGATCAGTGCTTCGAAGACATGTCAATCGTTGTGCTTGGATGCTTTGCCTCACCAAACAGAATGCTTTCAACCTAGCTTGTTTGCATCAATGCCGACTCATATGGGAGCCTAGCAAGGCTGTTGCTTGCTGCTGAAGCCAACGTAGAGGTGCTCTGACATAGCAGTGTACGTACCCCAAACCTGAATTTTGCCATTTGATGTCTAAACTCTTTAATATTCTTTAATAGCTGACGCAAGTTTTTAACTATTTTCCTACGAAGTTGTTTGAGATGCTTCACAGTGGTTTCGCTTCAGTTGTCCAACTGTCTATTGTTTCTTGACACTTTCCTTGGAAACTTGATTGGTTGATAGTGCAGGAGAAGAGTATTGACGGCAACGCACCCTTGCACTGTGCAGCGTTGTTTGGTAGTTCGGGCCACAGTTCCCTGATGTTTGTGTTGGGACCTTTGCAATAAACGGCAAAAACACATCACAGTTGCCTGCAACACCAGTACAAACAGGGGTGCGGGCCAGCCATTCACACTTTCAAGTCGTTGAAGAGACTTTATATGGAAAAATATGGTTTGCGGTTTGAAAGGCCTTCAGCTCAAAGTGATCATGTCGGGGCGATACAATAGTTCCTTTTGTGCTACAAATGTGCACAGACCAACCTGCCAAGGATGGGTTGTTGTTATTGTCACTAGACCATTAATTCAAAATGTTTACTGGTTTGTTCATTCACCCGCTACTGACGGCTACTGCTACAATTGTGAGCACAATGCTACACGCAGTTTTGTGGCACACACCGATCTGACACTGAGCCAAAGAATGTTTTGGACGGGATAAGCTGTACCCTTTCAAAAGATCAAGTTTCTTCCCATCAAGATGTGGGTAGTGGGTGGGCAATCGTCACAAGGTACCAAAGCCATGAATGCTGGGACCTCAAGAGTTTTGCCAAGGGCTCCGAGGGCAACATGTCGGCGTAAAAAAAGTTTAAACCCAGCGTTTCACTATGTTTCACTCATATCATATGAGACAAGACTTATATTGACTGGGCTGTGATGCGCTGAATCACTACTGAATCACTAGAGCATTGATTTGTTGAGTTGTCATGATTTGTCTAGTTTTCTCATGTTTTCTCAGCATACCACCAGTCCTTGGACTTCAGTTTTTGTGTGGGTCCTGATCTGCAGAGATCTGCAGAGGTGCTACTTCACTTTGGCGGCAAAGTCAGTACAAAGGACAGAAGTTGGTTGTATTGCTTTCCGCCAAACAGCATTTCCATCATTTCCCATGTTCGTTTGAACATGTTTGAAGCAAGATATCGATGGCCTTGCTCGAGTTAACAGAGAGAAGACGATTGTGTCCCTAAGTGTTTGCCTGCATTCTAATCATTCTATAGATTGATCAAAAGAAACCTTACCGTTGCCAGGACAAGGTAGGCCGGCTTCCCATGTTCATCGCTGCATGTGGCACGTCTCCAAAGGCTTGCGAGGCGAGACCAGCTGAAAGCACTGTTGAATACTGTTGAACAATGTTGAACAACTGTACTGCATGGTACGGCTCTAAATTACAAGATTGTGACTGTACCTGGCAGCCGGGCTGTCTCCAATCAAATCGCAAGACAGCCAAGTTGGTTCACGAGGTGTTGGCAGCAAGCGAGCTGGAGGCGGGGGCCGTGGGGGCCGTGGACCATGACAGAGCACGGAAGTGATGGCAGTCTAACAGCAGGACGTGATGTCGCTTTTGTCAGCGACAAATGCACAACGGGAAGCTTTTGTCATGTGATGTTTGACGTCTTGAAACTGCGATGTTTGACTACCATGCCAGGAAGCTACTCACAATACATGCTTCATATTGATTCAATTTGGATCATGCTGATAAATCACGATAGACCAATGGTTTGTAGAAACAGAAAAATGATGAAGCATGTTGTGTATGTCTCTACATGTCTCTGCCATTCACCTGCCCAGGATTTACCAGAATTGCCGGTAGAGCTGCCAGAAGAAGCTCCGGAGGCGCTGGATATGAAAGTTCTGTGATGTTCTGTGCTATTTTATGGCATGGATATGATAGCCATTGATAGTCATTTGCTAAAGATGTTTTTAATATGTTTTGGCAATATATGTGGCAATAGAATTTGCATATGTTGCATGATTCGCATGGTTGTTTGTTTGATATTGTTCGAATTGTTTCGAATTGTAACGAATCCGTGTGGAAATATATTCATGAACTCTGAAAGTGTCTCGGTGAGTCCTTGATCTGGCATCCTCATGAGACCCGATTTGGAGATCTGTGGATTTATGTTGTGCACCTGCAAAATCCAACAACGTACCAGTTATATCAAGTTAATTCATGTTACATCTCGCAACCTCGCCACCAAGACAGCAGTACTTGTAGCAGGCTTGTCGGATGTACGATAATCCATGTGGGTCGCCTTGCTTGATCTTGCGGACTTATGAAACTTCATTGCGGGGTTGTAGCTATATGGCGAGAGACCTGTGCTGAAGACATAATATATTATATATATATACATATGTAATTATATGTATGTATGTATATGTACACATACATGATCATATAATAATAATAATAATAATGATAATAATAATGATAATAATAATAATAATGATAATGATAATGATAATAATGACAATAGTGATAATAATAATAATAATAATATATGTGTATATATATATATGTATAATTGATTTAGTATAGACAAACATCCAGTGTGTGGGCATTTAGGTATACCTCACTGCGTGCCAATACGCATGCAGACATACGCGTAAAGACATGCATGACACGGACTTGTTTTCAGAGTCCTTCGTGAGCACTACTTAGAGTCTTTGCATTCAAGACTCTTAAGTTCTCTGACAGGCACCTGCGCGAAGCAAGGATGGGAAGGCTTTTTTTGGTTTCTGTGCAGGGGAGAGCTTGTTTGCATTTCAAGATGCTGCATGTGGCTATATAACTCTTTTGCAAATCGCTACATTGAAACAGGCTGGTAATCAGAAGCAAAAGGAAAAGGAGCAGAAGGCTTGGGTAGAAACTAGTAGAAACATTTACATTTTTCATGTCAAAGAGAGGTCTATTTGTGGTTGCGCCTTGTCTGTGTGTGTGGCACTCCAGCGCTTCATTCCTTTAGTTTGTTTAGTTGAACCACGTTGAACTAAATTTGCTTCAACTCTGTATTATTGATTAGATTAAAACCCGTCTCAGCAACTACGGTTCAGCAACCACGGCTGTTAGCAATTGTCTAATGCAGTACTGTGTTTGTCAATGGCAATATGAAGATCAGTTCTTATAGCTCTTTGGGTTCATTGGAAGTCATTCGCACGGTTGCCTTTTCTTTACGATTTGAGATGGCATTCAGCTGGTTGACAGTGAAGCATCCCGTGTGAGATCATCTCCAGCAGTGCCAGCACTTCAACACTTGGGCTCGGGAACACCAGCACAAGCACTCTGGCTGCAAAAAACACCAAAAACATATATAGAGTTTGCGGAAACTGGATGAAAACATGATGCCCTCATGCTGCAGCACCAAGGTTTATTTGACAGAGATCAAAACAGGACCTGCCTGACCAGCGATAGTTCTTGAATCGCTGACCCATGTGCTCCAAGATGTTGAGCTTGGAGTGACTTGCTGGATCACATGACCAGAAGCTCCGCAGGAACCGTGCCCGCGGACGAAAGAATACAACTTCAAGCCAGGCAGTCCATATCTTTAATAATAGAAACAATAAATCTTGAGAAAACATGACATGCAAGGCATTCTCCCATGTTTCAGCGTTGACATGCATGGACCCGTTTCTTGAGTCAAGACAAATTTCTGACACATTTACGCATGTTGAAATGAAGGGATACTTACAACACAATCAATATCAATACCGGTCAAAACGGTCAATCTTGAGACTGTGACAGGAGTTATTTGTCATCAGATTACTTCAGATTGTAAGAAAACACATTCAGGATATCCTTTCTGAGATTATGCTCAGGGACGACTTCCAGCAAACAACAGTGACTTTGTTGGAGGGCCAAGAAGTCACGAGACTAGACTCGACCAGACTTTCCAGCAGCGAATCCTTAAGATGATTTCATACTGCAGAGTTCCTCGGGCAAAACGTTTCTGAGAGGCTACCATCAACAAGAAGACACCGGATCATTTGGTAGTTTCAATACGCTGCGAATCTTTGTGCCAATACGACACAAATGATACATGCTAGGCTACACTCAAGCAAAATACTTCGTTTGCATGTCATGTGTGTGTATCTGTACAAATATGTTTATATATATATATACCTCATTCAATTCCCTCGAGTCTTCAAGCACCGTTTGCACACCCAGATGGCAGAAGAGTCTGAGGCTTTCCGGGTTGGGAATGTGGGCCTGAAAGCATATTGTCCAGTTGCAAGCCCATTTCTATGTTTCTAGTTGCTCAGCTTGGTAGACAAATCAAAGGTCATCTGTCAGCATTGCTGAACCAAACGGATATACATGCTGGCTTTCAAGCTTGATTTTCCATGAAGTTCCTCAGTCACTCAACCCCACCATTATTTGCAATGAAAAGCCGGGTCCAGAGGTTTGACTCACTTTGCTGATATTGTTCTGAATAAACTACAGAAACAACAGGAAACAGCGCTGCTCTACCTTTCTGATTGAGTGAGTTTGGTTCAGCAAGACCTTGGTGCCGTCCAAGGCAAGCATTGAATAGCTATGATCAGTTCGCATAGTGAGGACATGGGACAAATGGTGTGGCAAATGCGTTTTTGTCGCATCAAGGGTCACTGTTTTCAGACTCGGTCCGGCCTTGGAAAAGAAATGGTGCAGGCAGTGACGCTCTCAGCGTCACGGAGGAGCTCGAACACACGGGTCTGCTCAGCGCGATTTGATTTTCTTATTTTTTGCATAGCAGAATTCATCACAATTCATCATCAGATGCGTTCACTCATGTTCACTCGGATCCTGTGTTACAAAAACCCGAGATCCATTGAGTAAAAGAAAGTCTGTGACAACACCAATGTCATGGCTGTATTCTTCTGGGTCACCTGGTTAAAATTCAGCCGAGGGCTGCATTTGCCTATATAATAATGATTAATAATGTGGTATAATTATAATGTTTGAGGAATGCCCTCTTCAAACAGCTGTTAAGCTTGAAGCACAAGTGCCTACTGCCAACAATCTACAACCAAGTCAATTTCTTCGAGCAGCTGCCCGTCAGTCCAATCCGACGTCGGATCCGACGTCGAGAAGATCCTCCTTTGAAGCGGCCAAGAACTCGAACAGACACAGCCGTCAGGTAATTATTGAGCGCAGCGTGTATTGCACAGCTCTCCTATTGAACACGCAGAAAATGGATGAAAATGGATCGTGACTCCTTGACATGCTTTGCCATTGCTCACATGCCACCGTAGTGTCGCGGGAAGTAACTGAAGATAACTGAAGCCTAAAAAAAACTAAAGCACTCCATGTGAAAAATCTAAATCGGTCCTAGACATTTTAGGCGAAGGGCCGACCGCCCCAGGAGGCACTGAAGCTCGGTGTAGTGTAGCTGCTGAGTTCTCGAAAGGTAGCGGTGAGCTACCTGAGTTCCCCCTTGCGTAGCAAGTATTAGGGGGCGAGCGGTGCAAGTGCAAGAGTTTGGGCCGGTTATGTCTCGGTCCGCCTTTCAAGGGGGGGGGGGCCCCCCCCCTTCGATTCCCCCCAGGTCCGCCTCTAAAGCCGGGTTTGCAACATAGGCGGACTACAAGGAAACGCCAACAGCCGCACATGCACTTTCATCCACCACGTTTACATACATCCCCACCCCAACCGAAGTCAAGACCCGCACTGAAACTCGACAATGTCAGATTGCTCAAGAACTTTGTTTCGTTCACCCTAACAACCGCGATGAACAATGTCGTAGCAAGAACGTTGCGACGGACTGCGTTGCAGTAGTCTCAAAAATCGTACATGATATACCAGTAGTACCGCACAAGGCGGTGGCGGAAGTTTCAAAAATAGGAAACCTATAGGAGAGATTGGTTGTTGTGAATCAGAGATGGCAGAGCGAAGCCACTGCTGGACTGAAAGGCGATTGATCTCTCTCACTCTTGTCTACCTGTCTATCTATCTATCATATCTATCTATCTATCTATCCATCCATCTATCTATCCATCTATCCATCTATCCATCTATCCATCTATCCATCTATCCATCTATCCCATCTATCCATCTATCCATCTATCCATCTATCCATCTATCCATCTATCCATCTATCCATCTACCCATCTATCCATCTATCCATCTATCCATCTATCCATCTATCCATCTATCCATCTATCCATCTATCCATCTATCCATCTATCCATCTATCCATCTATTTCTCCCTCTATCTATCCATCTATTTCTCCCTCTATCTATCTATCTCTATCGATCTATCGATCTATCGATCTATCGATCTATCGATCTATCGATCTATCGATCTATCGATCTATCGATCTATCGATCTATCTCTATCCCTCTCTATCCCTCTATCTATCTATCTATCTTTCTATCTATCTATCTATCCTATCTATCCTATCTATCCTATCTATCCTATCTATCCTATCTATCCTATCTATCATATCTATCCTATCTATCCTATCTATCCTATCTATCCTATCTATCCTATCTATATATCTATCATATCTATCATATCTATCATATCTATCATATCTATCATATCTATCATATCTATCATATCTATCATATCTATCTATCTATCTATCTATCTATCTATCTATCTATCTATCTATCTATCTATCTATCTATCTATCTATCTATCTATCTATCTATCTATCTTATCTATCTGTCTAGCTGTCTACCTGTCTATCTTTTGTGCAGTGTCATTCAGTGTAATGTAGTGTAGTGTAATGTAGTGTAATGTAGTGGAGTGTAGTTGTAGTTGTAGGTGGTAGTGGAGTGTAGTGTAGAGTAGTGTCGTGAAGTGTAGCGGCAGGTAGTGTAGTGTAGTGTAATGTAGTGTAGTGTAGTGGAGTCTAGTGTAGTGTAATGTAGTGTAGTGTAAGGTAGTGTAGTGTAGTGGAGTGTAGTTGTGTAGTTTTAGTTGTAGTGTTGTGGAGTGTAGTGTAGTGTAAGGTAGTGTAGTGTAGTTTAATGTTGTGTAGTGGAGTGTAGTGGAGTGTAGTTGGGTAGGTGTAGTTGTATTTGTAGTGGAGTGTAGTGTAGTGTAATGTAGTGAAGTGTAGTGTAGAGAGTGTAGTGCAGTGTAATTTAGTGTAGTGGACTGTAGTGGACTGTAGTTGTGTAGTTGTAGTTGTAACCTGTAGTGTTGTGAAGTGTAGTGTAATGTAATGTAGTGTAATGTAGCAGCAAAGTGTAGTGTCATGTAGTGTAGTCGAGTTAAGCGAAGCAACATCTGAACCGCCAAAAGTGGTCCGAAACCCTAGTGTTTTTAACATGTTAACTTCCAAATCTGCTTCGCGCCACAACGGCGTGCACTTTTTCGAAACTCGACATCTCAGCCTCCAAAAGTGGTCCGAACATGGTGTGGTTTGTACATTTTGACTTCGAAATGTCTTCGCGCCACAGCGGCGTGCACTTTTTCGAAACTCGACCTCTGAGCCTCCAAAAGTGGTTCGAACCCCTGGTGTTTTGCACATTTTGACTTCGAAATGTGCTTCGTGCCACAACGGCGTGCACTTTTTCGAAACTCGACCTCTGAGCCTCCAAAAGTGGTCCGAACCCCTAGTGTTTTTAACATTTTGACTTGGAAATGTGCTTCGCGCCACAACGGCGTGCATTTTTTCGACATCTTAAGTGCCAAAAGTGGTCCGCACTTGGTGTGTTTTCTACATTTTGACTTGGACATGTGCTTCGCGCCACAACGGTGTGCACTTTTTCGACATCGCAACTTCCAAAAGTGGTCAGACCCTGGTGTGTTTTGTACATTTTGACTTGGGGATGTGCTTCGCGCCACAACGGCGTGCACTTTTTCGACATCTGAAGCGCCAAAAGTGGTCCGATCCTCTTGGTGTTTTGCGCATTTTGACTTGGAAATGTGCTTCGCGCCACAACGGCGTGCAATTTTTCATGTCTCATCTCCCCATATGTCTCCGCACCCGCCGCTTTAGCGAGCCTACTTTTCGACCCTCCGGAACCACAAATCATTGGAAAAACACAGTGAATCGCGACTTTCCTACCTTTTCGCGCATTGCATCTTCTTTCTTCTGACTCTTTCTCTTCTGAACTTTCTCTTCTCTCTGCCTCTGCCCTGCTCTGCTTTTCATCTGTCCATATTGTCGGAAGTTTAGCTTCTCAACTTCCTTCGACAATATAGTTAAAGATATGTATCTATATATATATACACATAATAATTCCATGATATATATATATATATATACTAAATAATCTCAATAATGTTGCGTCCTGATTAGTGTGTGGCCCCCCCCAAACTATTTCTGGACTCTCTTTAAAGTAGAAAGTCAAAAAATTTCTTCCCAAAAGAAAAACATATCCTCAATTAAGTAAGGATTTCAATTGGCCACAATTGAAATCTAATTACTAGTGTTTTTTTTTGCCGATGAAGTTGTGGTATTTGTAGTACTTGTAGTACTTGTAGTACATGTAGTACTTGTAGTACTTGTAGTACTTGTAGTACTTGTAGTAATTGTAGTACTTGTAGTACTTGTAGTACTTGTAGTACTTGTAATACTTGCAGTACTTGTAGTACTTGTAGTACTTGTAGTACTTGTAGTACTTGCAGTACTTGTAGTACTTGTAGTACTTGTAGTACTTGTAGTACATGTAGTACTTGTAGTACTTGTAGTACTTGTAGTACTTGTAGTACTTGTAGTACATGTAGTACTTGTAGTACTTGTAGTACATGTAGTACTTGTAGTACATGCAGCACATGCTCAGCTCATGCTCAGCCCATGTTTAGCTTATACTCAGCTAAATCTCAAGAGACACTGAACCAGCTCATGCCCAGTTTGCTGCAATAGTGAACCCAGCAAACAAACCTACTAAAGTGAAATGGGGCCTCTCCTGGTCCAGGGCCTTGGAAAATTGTGGAAAAGCTGTTCTTTAATAAGGGTTTAATAAGGGATTGGTTCTCTTGGGAAAGGCTTGGAGTTTGAATTTGGCAATTTTGGAAATGGCTTGCTTCCCTTCTGGGCTTCCAGGGGCTGCTCTGGCACAGCTTGCTGCAATAGTGAACCCAGCAAACAAACCTACTAAAGTGAAATGGAGCCTCTCCTGGTCCAGGGCCTTGGAAAATTGTGGAAAAGCTGTTCTTTAATAAGGGTTTAATAAGGATTGGTTCTTTTGGGAAAGGCTTGGAGTTTGAATTTGGCAATTGCCTTTGGAAAAGGCTTGCTTCCCTTCTGGGCTTCCAGGGGCTGCTCTGGCACAGCTTGCTGCAATAGTGAACCCAGCAAACAAACCTACTAAAGTGAAATGGAGCCTCTCCTGGTCCAGGGCCTTGGGAAATTGTGGAAAAGCTGTTCTTTAATAATGGTTTAATAAGGGATTGGCTCCTTTGGGAAAGGCTTGGAGTTTGAATTTGGCAATTGCCTTTGGAAAAGGCTTGCTTCTCTTCTGGGCTTCCAGGAGCTGCTCTGGCACAGCTTGCTGCAATAGTGAACCCAGCAAACAAACCTACTAAAGTGAAATGGGGCCTCTCCTGGTCCAGGGCCTTGGAAAATTGTGGAAAAGCTGTTCTTTAATAAGGGTTTAATAAGGGATTGGCTCCTTTGCGAAAGGCTTGGAGTTTGAATTTGGCAATTGGGAAAAGGCTTGCTTCCCTTCTAGGCTTCCAGGGGCTGCTCTGGCACAGCTTGCTGCAATAGTGAACCCAGCAAACAAACCTACTAAAGTGAAATGGAGCCTCTCCTGGTCCAGGGCCTTGGAAAATTGTTGAAAAGCTGTTCTTTAATAAGGGTTTAATAAGGGATTGGCTCCTTTGGGAAAGCCTTGGAGTTTGAATTTGGCAATTGTCTTTGGAAAAGGCTTGCTTCTCTTCTAGGCTTCCAGGGGCTGCTCTGGCACAGCTTGCTGCAATAGTGAACCCAGCAAACAAACCTACTAAAGTGAAATGGGGCCTCTACTGGTCCAGGGCCTTGGAAAATTGTGGGAAAGCTGTTCTTTAATAAGGGTTTAATAAGGGATTGGTTCTTTTGGGAAAGGCTTGCAGTTTGAATTTGGCAATTTTGGAAATGGCTTGCTTCCCTTCTTCAGGGGCTGCTCTGGCACAGCTTGCTGCAATAGTGAACCCTGCAAACAAACCTACTAAAGTGAAATAGGGCCTCTACTGGTCCAGGGCCTTGGAAAATTGTGAGAAAGCTGTTCTTTAATAAGGGTTTAATAAGGGATTGGTTCTTTGGGGAAAGGCTTGCAGTTTGAATTTGGCAATTTTGGAAATGGCTTGCTTCCCTTCTTCAGGGGCTGCTCTGGCACAGCTTGCTGCAATAGTGAACCCAGCAAACAAACCTACTCAGATAGAGATGCATTTACAGGCTCAGATAGGGAGATGAGCAAAAAATTGACTGAGCTACAGCGTTTTTGAGAAAAAATGCCTCTCAGCAATTACAGTTTTTTTTGCAAAAAAAGGGCTCTCCCAATTTTGTTTTGCCACAAAAGCGAACCCTCCAAACAACACATGAGTTTCAGAATAATTTGGAAAATTTGCCACAATAGCGACCCTAGGTACTAATCAGGACTCAACATTATACATATAGATTCGTATATATATATATATATGCATACTCTACCCAGCAATTGTGGGATATTGCGCTTTGGCTAGTGGTTGCCGAAGCATAATCGCTGCCCCTTGCTCAGCATATCTAGATCATTTGGTGGATTTTCCGCAAGGGTTCCTCCAAGATATTCTCTTCAACCAAAAGACTTCGCTAATGACATTTCAATATGTTTCATATATATGTATATTCGTATATATATAGTTATCATGTATAATAACTAGAACACCTATAATGACGAATTACTATAATAACTAGAACATAATTATCACAACTATATTGAACCCCCCCCTTCGATTCCCCCAAGCTCCGCCTCTAAAGCCGCGTTTGCAAGAAGTCACCCCGCGGGCCCACTTTTTGCACCAAGATTCCAGCACCAGGATAGCCCTAAGTCAGTTGCTTTGGGTACATGCTAGGGTCAAAACACCACGTTTGTGAATCCCACGCTGTTCTACACATGTACACACCAGAATCAACCCCATCCGCGTTGCAACAATGTGCTGCCCCCAGTTACACGTTGCCTCGCAAACCCCATAACCTGATATTTATACATATATCTAACTATATGTATGTATTTATATATATATATATGTCTGTGTGTCTGTGTGTGTGTCGTGTCCCCCCTCCCTGAAACCTACCTTTTTGGTACCCGCCCGCGAGTCCAAGCCCAGAAGACTTTTTTCGATATCCGCCCCAACTCCACCCACGTCCGTCCGCAGCGGATATGCCTCGTTCCCTTGCTCTCTTCTCCTGTTCCAACCCACGCCTACCTTTCGATCTTTCACCCTTCCCTCTCAAGTTTCTGATTTTTGCGTCTGGTGAGTTTACATAGCTTTAAGCGCACGAAAGGTTGATCATGTAGTTTTCCCGGAGTCTCATCTTGTCAAAACCTGCTGGGCAGCGTTGCGGATGTTGCACAGGGAGGCCGAAGACCGTCTCAGAAGGTGCGGCCTGGGGATTGTCCTTCTCTGCAAAAGGGGGGCCTGCTGAGACATGGTAAAGTCTTACTTTGCAGACACACCACTGCTTTTACTGCCTCCAAAGGAATTGTTGCATAGCAGGATATTGAAAATGGATGAAAATTGCATACCGCAACGGCGCAACGGCAACGTTTTGTGCAATAGTCACCATGCAATCGACAGGGACTCCGCTCTGGATCTGGGGCACCATCCAAAGATGAGGCAGGAATCTTTCTGAAGAGCTGGATCCATGACATCCAGCTGTTGCACCATGATGCACCAGCCAATAGTTTCTTTGTTTATGATGGGCACAGTCGTGAAATCCCACGATGCAACACCCTTCGCAGACCTCTACCGTCACCTTCTCGGATGGTGGTTTGTTCTCCAAAGAGATGCCAACGTCAAAGGATGAGGTGCCGCGGAGACCTATTGACTGGCAACATTCTCAACATGCCACTGGAACAACAAATCAGTAGAGTATGTAGAGTGAGCCCGTAGATCAAGCTGAGTACTTCGGCACTATAAAAGCATCTCCAAGCTGGAGAAAGTCAAATGGGCCATAGAATCGACCTGCTACAGTCCACAAGCAAGTCAATCTCAATCAATGATACCACTTGTTTGCAGGGCTGGGCCCTGATTGGCCAAGAGCATCCCTGGCAACTTTCTTACAGTGGCATCGAACTTGGTCGGAATGAAATAGACAGATATTGGCGTACACACAGCCAGGAAAGTCTGCGCGTGAGAGAGAGAGAGAGAAAGAAAGAAAGAAAGAGAGCGAGGGAGAAGAGGGAGAAGAGGGAGAAGAGGGAGAGACTGGGAGAGACAGAGACGTGAATTGACGTCAAGTATTCACACTCCTAACTCCCATGATATGAATATATATGAATGAATATGAATGAATATGAATGATCCTAAAGGCACGTGTGACATAGTGTGACTAATTATGTTGTCGCATGTTTGTGGTAAATTTGATCGACAAGTCCCTGAATTGGCATGCCAGGTTGCTCATTGCCGCGGCACAAAAACGAAGAGCCAAGATGTTTCTTCCTTGGATTTGTCAATGGGTTTGCGGATTTGCTGACACAATTGAGCTTGAAAAAAACGAAAAGGGACAATTCATAATTTTACAATGAATCCGAATGTGTGTATTCTTTCATATGCGATGTTTTCATGTGTTTTCCAGTTGTGTAGCGGTTTTGTGGTTGGGATCTGATTTCATCTGACCTCTGCACAGCTCCAGGGCCAAGCCTGTCAAAGGCCCAGGGCCGCAGCGGCTCCTTGCAGGGCAGCTCAGGTATGGTTTTGATGTCGTATGGCTATGTATGGCTCAGTCCTAGTAATTCCAGTCTTGTTTTACTTGACAACTCGGAGGTTCATTATGTACTTATTGCATCAGATGGGACCAGATATTGGTACTTTGAGCCCCGCTGCTCCGCTGAGGATGTCAATGAGAAGGGCATGAGTCCTCTTCATTTCTCAGTAGCAGCTGGACAGTCTCTAGGCGCACTGGCCTGTTGAATATGGCAACCCGCACGTTAGATGCAAGGCCCAGCGCCACCAAATGTGCGGCCAACGCAAATCTGCTCAAGGTATATTTGGGTAAACATTTGTAAGCCTTGGTTGGGCCCTGAAAGACTTGAAGAATTTCATCCTCCAGAGCGTTTATGCAGGCCTTTTTTTTTACACAAGCACACTGATCCTTTCCGGTGCGGCTCGCCTCATCTGAATTCAAGATTGGCCAGCGAAGTCCATGCCAATCTTCGTGCCAAAGGACTTTGTGTCCATGGCAGCACATTTCTTTACAAAGGCCTCATCCAGCTGCACAGTTTCCTCAAACTGGCATGCTGAGAGGGTCCTGACAAAACTGGACGCAAGAGCTCGGCTCATTGCAGGTGGATATTCCTTGAGCTTGGACGTTTGCCATGCTCCGTCCTCATCACGCCCAATTGCCGCGCGCGCAGGGAGATCTCGGCAAAGGTGATGTCGGCGCAGCTCACCCATCAAATCACACATATTCAGAACCAGGAGTCTCGTCGGCTTGGGTGTTGGTGCTCCAAGAAGGCCCTGGCTGAAAGAGAAGGTGCTCATGCCTGGCATCTGCAATAACCACAGCATGATGGGCAAGCGCCAGATCGACGGCATTGATTCATCTGGAGGCGTGTCAGGATGCTCCAACACACCGCTGGCGCCTACCAGTGCCAGTCTGAAAAGCATCTCCAGTGCAAAGCATAGCAAAAGATTCCCCACGCCAACCTGTCTGGCTTCCCTAAGACTGAGAGAGCAAAGTCCCCACAAGTCTTCTCCTGAACGAACTGGCCGTGGGCTCCTGCGCTGCGAGGTGGTCTTGAGCATTGCAACAAAACGAGCGCGGCTCCAGGTCTCACATGGAGGGCCACAGAGGAAGCCCGCCACAGCACCGCATGAGGCGTGATGAAACCAGAAGTCCTGCGTCTCTTGGACAGTGACGTCGCCCAGAACAGGGTCAGTAACAATGTCAAGAGAAACCACCGTCAAGTGAATGCCTTCTGCAGCCCGATCATACATCTGCTCCATGTAAAATTGCAGGTCTCCCGGGCGGCGACGGCCGCTGAAAGCATGTAAAACGATCTGATGTCGACCACACATGCGTGGAACTGAAGGGGTCCCTGCTGGCGGACAACTCAACGTCTCTTCACGACAATCTTTCTCCATGTTCTCCAAAGTGTCCATATAGGTCTCGTCTGGCACCTGCTCATCAACCAGGAAGGGCCACGATGAGGTCGTAGACAAACGATGGAGAAGAGCAAGGACGTCATCGCGTGACAAGGCCTCCCAACCCAATTGCTCATGGAGAACAGTGTCTGCGAGCTCGCCAAGGGTAGCCCTGCATCTTGTCCAAGACGTAGGCCAGCGAAGGATCTCCGCACGAAGACAAACTTCCAGGCCCGCAATATCCGGGTTGGTTTGCGCATCCACAATGACTAACGCCAATGCATCGTGCAAGTCAAAGTCAATCAGGGAGAAATCAAGTCCTCCTCTCCATGGCTTCGTGGGACCGCTAGCTTGTAAAGGTGGCAAGCGTCCATCATGTTCCTGCCGACGAAGTGCATCTTCACGAGAGCCAATACCAGGAAGAACGTTTCCTTGAAGGCGATGGTGTAGCAGGTAGGTGCGACAGTCGGCGCTGCGCAAAAGGTGCTGCTGTATCTGTCCCGCCGTGTGGTACTCTTTCAAGCATGCCCCACACTGGGTACCAGCGATGTAGTGTCGGATTGGTTGAATCTGTCCATGTTTGCGGCACATGTGCGCACCTTCACCACCCCTTGATCGGCATCGTCGCTGACAAAGCATGCATCCAAATGAAGGTGCATCTGCAGCAAAATGGACAAATCTGCCTGGCGCATTCCAAAAGCCACATTCAGCTAACAGACCTCGCACTGTCTGGTGAAAATTGCCACATTGGAATCGCATTGCTTGTTGAAGAATAGCATGTTTCTCAGCTCGTTTAAGAAGGCCCTTCCAAAATCCACGATGGAAACGAATGACCTCAAACCAGCGCTGCATATGATGAGTAGGATCACCAAGGTCACAAGTGTTGGCTAAATTGTGCCACACCCATTTCATGTCATCTTCCACCAGAACTCGCCAGAGTCGGTCCTTGTTGAGCAGCCCCCAGCATGCTGTATGGCCTATGGCACAGAGAGAGCCAATGTACCGCAACCTGCAGAGGCGCAATAGGTCCGTAGGTGAAGAGAGCCCCACACGCCATAGAATCTCATCGTCTTGCATGTGAGCGTTGTGGGCACTACCCAACAAGCGGCGATAGAGCTTCATGATGGCAGAGTGGAGCTTCATCTTTGAATGGGAGTCCCATAATGCCCAAGAGTCAGCACCATACAGCAAACGGCTCAAAATCAAGCTGCGAAAGATTTCAGCTCTCTTGTGCAGCGAAAAAGCTCGGCATTGATACACCAGCTTCCTATGTTTGCTGAACGCTTGATGAGCAATGGCAACTCTCCTCCTCACCTCAGCCCGTACTTCTCCTGTGTAGTGGATCACTCCTCCCAAGTGCGTGTAGGAGGTCACCAAATGAACATGATAAAGGCCATGTTCTCCAATCGCAGGAAAGTGCTTCGTGGAGAGCGGTCCAAACATCTCTTTCTTCCATGCTCGAGTGCCTGGCCCCCTCGGGCTGACCATAAGCTCCGTCTTGCCAGGACGCAGATTGGGTGTCATTGCATGTTCTCTGAAAATGTCCAGTAAGATGCTCGTAGCGACCCCGATCTTCGCTTTGAGACCAGCATTCGTCTCGCTCCAAAGGCATAGCGCCATGTCATCCATCCAGACTGGGCCCAGAAACCGGCACATCTCTGCATTCTGCTGGACCTCCACATTGAAGAGCTCCATCCCTTCTTGGCTAGGGACACTGGATAGGACTTGAGCTTGCGCCAGCTGCTCTTCATAGGAGTGTAGGACACGCGCTAGCAAGAACCCAAAAACAATGTCTGCATATGCATCACCTGGTCTAGTGCCAAGCTTCGTCTGAACATGATCATCTTGTTGTGGGATCTGAAAGTGCGTGTTGGAGTGGAGCGCTCTAACAACTCGTTGAGCACAAGCAGGCATACCTGCTCTGTCAAGAGCACAGGGTTCCTGCAGGTGCTTCCAGAGCTCGTGTAGGATATCTGGTCCTAAGCCGAGCCTCTGTGCCAATTTGGCAAGTGCTTCATCTTCAAAGGAGCCAGGCAAGGCGAGCTGCCTAAGCACTCGATAGAATGCTTCCTGTAAATCTACAAACAGCACTGCGGTGGGATGCCCACAATCACGATGCCATCGGACAAAAGCTCGCGTCTGATGTGCGCCCAAAGTGACAGGGACATGGCATCGTCCTCCCAGCTGTTGTGAATGCAGGTAGGCTTCATAGATGTCCTTTTGGTGGATTCTCAACGTCCGATGAACAACTTTGCCCAAAGTCGAGGACAGCAGAATGGAACGGTACGCCTCGCACGTGTCTTTGGCGAGCTTTCCCTTCCAAATGGGGATGACAGTGCCACCCTTGTGGAGGAGAGGCTCATGACCATGTGTGACAAGCTTCATCATGAGGGCATACATCATGCGAGCCGTCTCAACAGGGTAGAACTTGCAAAGTTCTGTCGGAATGGCATCTGGTCCATCAGCTTTGCCTGCTTTGACTCGTCGGCAGGATGCTTCCAAAGCACTCAAGCTTGGAAGGTCAGAGATCGAAAGCACCTGTGCCGTTTCACTGAAGTCTTGCAGTTGCCTAACCCATTCCGCATGCAATTGCGAGAAAGGCACACGTTCACCTCCCTCCATGTCCGCAAAGAACTGAATCCAGCGAAACAGTGTTTCAGAAGTTGAGCTACAGGGAAGGTTGTGTGCGTTTCGCAAAGCTGGTAAAGGTGCAAGGCCTTGACGTAGCTTGTTGGAAGATCCCATGAATCCTTTCAACTTGTGTTGGATCTCAGAAGCAGCTGTTCCCTCATCAATCGTGGCCAGAGTTTCATGTAGATGACGGGACTTCGCAGCTGCCAAATCTCGCTGCAATGCTGCAGCAGAGCGTCTGAAACCAATGTAGTGCTTAAAGAGGCCACATCGAAGTGTAGAACCAAACACAAATGATAGCTCCAGAAGTTGCGCAGAGGGTGCTCGCCAGGCTGCAAAGATGCGTGCTAGCGTTTCTCTGCGCAAAAGGGCCCTTGCAGTCTTCATGGCCTTCCGATGGTGCAGCTTCTGCCTTCTCCAATCCCATGCATCATCAGACACATAAGATCGCTTCGGGGTCCCTTTCGGTAGAGGACAGGACCGATGCAAGAGATGATGGAGTTGATTGTTCATGTGGCTCGTGTGCGTCTCAACATCACACGTCCACACTGATGTGGATAGTGACATCAAACCCGATCTCAAATTGGCCTGTTTGATGCGTTCTCTGGCAAAGGTCGGCTTCTCAGAGAAAGGGGTCGCTTTGAGCGGTCTGGAGAGCAGCTGTGACCAGTGAAGTTCCAAGGCCGTAGCCGTGTGGTCTTCCACTTGGTTCCCAAGATCAAAGGTCTCCAAAAGGCTCGAAAACGTACAGGAAGTTGCCATGTGAGTGGGGACCATGACAAAGTCGATTTGATGTGAAGCCCTTCCATTGGGGTGCATCCATGTCTCTCTGGGACCTTCATGAAGTTGGCTAGTCGCTGGCAAGCAAAGCTCAAAAGTTTCCAGAAAGGTCCGCAAAAGGGATGTGGAACTTGTCGTGGGAAGCCCCTCTTGAAACACATGGTGACCATCACAATCTCCTGGTGCTGCATTAGCATCGGCACAAACAAAAAGTTGTTCAGTGGAAATGTGCTGCTCCTCCAAGAATGACGCAGTATCATTCCACCAATCTTGTCGTTGCTGAGCCGATATGCCACTGTGAGGTGCATGTAGCACCAGAATCCATATGTTGAGCCACTTGGCTTCAACCTTGACCAGGAGTCTTTGCGGGTCCGCATGAAGCACTACAAAGTCATTCTTGTGGAAGAACTGAGGTTTTCTTTGAACTTGACAGTATGGTTGTTTGAGATTGCACCAAAGCTCCACTCCATGTTGCCCTCCTTTGCCCCCTGCACATAGCCGGAAGACTTGATCTACCAAAGAGGCACCTTCTTGTCCTCTTGTCTCTTGAAAACCAGAAAAGTTCAAACCATGACTGACCATTTGTTCACGCAGGTAGTGCACCTTTCCCGCATGTCCATGAGGTTTCGAGCTCATCGAAAGCACATTGGCGGTTGCAAAGCTGATGGTGAACTGCACCTCAATGGCATCATGCTTGATTGCAGGAGATATCTCCTTACATGGCAGCGGCAATCTTGGGGCAGGGATGGCAAAACCTTCGTGACAATGCATGGGGAGGCCATCTTGAGAGCCGAAGACCATCCAGAGGTAGGGAATCAGTTGTCGCCATGGTGCGATGCAAAAGTCCCCTCTTGGTAGAAAAAGTCCCTTGCACGCTTCCATTTTCGCAAGATGGTCAGCCATTTCATTCCATGGCTCGTTGTTGTGTCCATATAGATGCTCCATCCTGATGCAATCTTCTGGAAGTGCGGCTGTAAGAAGCTGATGGCATCCACGCAGAAGTCCAAAAGTGTCATCATAGTGTGCAGCTCCTAGCGTACCTTCAGCTTGTCCAATCGTCAAGGATGAATCAGACCGGAAAAGAGTTGGGGTTCTCCGGTTCAAGCCAATCCTCCATAAAAAAGCCCAGATCATCGCCTCCCTTTCTGCAACCCATGGTCCAATAGCACGGGAACCGATGTGCCAGGGGTGGTCTTCAGCACATCTGACCTGGTGGGCTTTCCACCCCAGGAGGGTGTAAGTAGAACCATCATCATGATACTGCTCTCCCAACGCCACGAAGGCCCATGCGTCTGGAATATGCTGTTCCTCCACCAGCTCAGGCGCTAAATGATAGCGACCAGAGTGTGATGAGCCATCTGTGTAAATGATAATGCGGTCAACATGGTCAATGGGTGAGAGTCGTTGAAGGTGCTGCTGTACGACCTCAGGAAAGTCAAAGCCATCGATGAGCTGGCACAATACTTGGTCTTGTGAGTGTGAAAAGAACTCAAGAAGTTGGTCACTCGTCACCCCCAGAGCCAGGAGACATGCTGGTGTGGAACTAGTCGACGGAACTTCATACATAGGTCCGTCATTGATCTGTGGTTGCCGACTCGGCCAGGTGGAGGCTGGTTTGGGTGGTCGAGAATCAAATTCAAGATGTCCAACAGAAACCATGAATTGAACCTCCACAAGGCCTCTGAAATGTTCAATCTCCTGCATAATCACTGCCTTCTCAAAACCCAGTCCATAAAGGAAGCGCATGTGGTCAAGGGTTCTTTCTTTCTCCAGCTTCTTCACCGTATGCAGAAGGACATCAGAGCTGGATGGAGCACTCATGTCCACATACGCAAGATGATGTTCTTCATGATCTGGGACCCAGTCAGTGGGCAAACAAAGCGCGTGATTACCATGGCCAAGTAAAGACACTTGGCATTGAATGCCAAAACAGGACAACTCTTCCTGGACGCTCTCAACAGTTGCTGGAGCGACAATCTCCACAAAGGAGGGAAGGGGTCCAATGTCATCATGGCCACGTAAGAGCTGAACAGCAACTGTGGCAATTTCGTCATGTCTCTCCTCCTCACATATTGGTTGGAAGACATTGAATCCATCAGGCCATAGGTCAGACGGCCCAGGGACGTGAGCCACCGATCCCTGTGTTAGGCGCTCGTCTGTCAATGTAGGCCTGGACAATTGTAGGAGGTTGAGTCCATCACCAGCTGGTCTCGTGCGTCGATGCACATTGATATGGATACTGTGGCCACTTCGACCTGGAATTGGACGTCCAAGGCGGAGACTCATGTCTCCAATCCAAGCTCTACAGTTCATGGGCGCATTGTGAGGGATGCAGGCTCCACCATAACCCACAATCTCAAGGACGTCCTCCAGGAGCAGGTGCTCTCCTGTGGTTGCTGCCATCCTTTGAATGCGTCCGTGTTCAGCAACTCTAGTATGGTCAATGACAGTGACAAGATTCGTCACGAGATTGTCAACTTGATTCTTGATGATGATGATGTGCCCCACCGCATTGCCACCTAAATGTGGTGGGGTGGGAGACACCAAATGAAATTCAAGATCGGAGTCAGCCTCGATTTCATCTTGCCATGTTTGACGTATGGTCTGCTCCCACATCGCAAAGCTCTCATAGAGGCGCACATTGCGTGGTCGAGTGCAATGTTTGTAGTCATTTGGGTGATGAGCAAGCCACGTAGTGAAGGTGCAAGATTTTTCCTCATCTTCCCAATTGAATGCTTCCTGTAGCCAAAGGTCATGTAGATCTTGAACAAATTCCGACATGGCCTCAATAGGAAGTATACCAGGCACAAAAGGCGGTGCATCAGCATTGAAAATAAAAGGACCACAAACCGTGTTCGGCATCGAGGAAGCACTCGCACTTGTAGCAGTCGTCAACGATGTCTGTGGCTGGCCACTCTGCATAAAGATGACATCTTCAAAGTGCTCTGTTTCAGCGAGTGGAGGTATTGGTCTTTGTAGTGTAGGATCAGAAATTCTTGTACACAGGTTGAAGCCCTCCGGCAACTCCGTGATCAAGATCAGATGTACCAGTTCTCCACAAGCATGAATTGTGCATCTGCGTGTGTCGCATTGTGGCTGTAGCCGTAATTCATCAATGACAGTGGGCTTGTTGATCCTCTTCGGGAAGGAGAGTGCAAACTGCTGAATAGCATCTCTGTCAGGTCCTTCAAAGAGGTTTGTGATGATGCCCGCAGCCCTATGTAGTTGTGGTGCTTGCACAAGAATCACATGGCAGGCATAATCCTGAAAACGAAGTTGTGGAGGTCGGGGACTTACCACATGAATGCTGAAGTCAATGTGACGGTCAAGAAGATCTCGCCAAGCAAATCGCAGCTCTTCCACCCAACCAATGATGGCGTTGTCCAGCCGTAGCGGCCGCGGATCAGGGCATCGTCGAAGACGCTGGTGATGAATGTACCAAGTCTGAATGTACAAGAGCGGATCACCTTCAATGGTCTCAGCTTCAGCATTTGCTCGGAAAATGTCAACAAGTTGATCGAGCCAATCAAACTTGCCATCATGCCGGGGTCTGAGTCGGGGCATCCTTGTACCCGGCGGAAAGGTGGTCGGTATGTCAGTGGCCTCAACCTGATCATTTCCTTTGCATGTGACCAATCTCGCTCCATCGCGAGCAACTTCACCAAAATCAAGACGATTGTGCTCCACATTGCCATCCAAGATGGAGTGCGCGAGCTGTCCCGCCTCCGGAAAGTCGAGGATCTCCCCGGTCTCGTGGGCAACTCGAACCGCTTGGCCAATGTTCCATGCAGGATTCAGAGGTGGTGGCAGCTGGATCCGAAAGACAGCTCCGTGTTCAACTTGGCGTAGTTGAGGGTCATTACGGTGCCAAATGTGACCATTGTGCTCAACAATGCATGTGTCGGCCATCCATGTGCAGTAGGCATCAACTTGTGCCATCAGCAGAAGGTGTCTTCGTGCCAACTGCGGTTGCACCTTGTAAACCTCTCGGGTTACAGCAGGATTGTCTGGCACGCCCTGATTCAGGCGATTGGTATGAAGGACAGTATCCACAATGACAAGCTTCTCCAAAGAGCCCAACGCAATGTCATTGACGTGTTGAAGTATAATTGCTTCTTCTCCTGCTTGATGCCCCACAAGGCTGACATGTACATAGTGAAAGCCGACAAAATGGTTGATGTGAGCCCGAACCAATTGAGCTGCATCTCGGAGCGCTGCATGATAGGATCTCCAATCGATGTGACCAAAGTTGGGCCAGTGGCCAAGTCGAAAAATGTGAACTGCCTGCAATTCATGAGGTAGATCAGATGATGAGGACTCCGCATCAGGTGGTTCATCATTGTCATGATCCTGAAAACCTTCATGTTGCTGTTCTTCTGGTTCATAATCCATCTGCACATCCCCGGTGGCAGTCTCTGCTTCAGGGGCGGCCGCAGCAGCCTGACTCCCTTCAGGTTGGATGATAAAAGCGTCCCCATTGGTCATGGCATGCACAGGGTCAATGCTGAAAGGAATCACATTTCTCGCATGACGCAGCCGACAACCCCGTAGGTGACATTGTTGAAGTTGGTTGGCCTCTTGAGCAAGAAGAAATCCACTCACATATTGTGGTAAAGATACCGCCAAACTGTACTCTGCTCTACTTGCACGATCCCCCACTCTAAGGACGGTGATGAGACCTGACCAAGAAGGCATGTCGAGTCCCTGTGCCAGAATGAGATCAAAGGAAATCTCCCACTGAGCACCTACATTTCGAGGAGGGTCAGGATGGCAGACATGAAAGGCAATATCCTCATCAAGTCGAACATGGTCTCGCCAGCCTTCTGCAATGTCGCGTGCCCAGTGCCGCCAATGTCCATCCAACTCTATGATGCGCGGCGTATTCCACTGTCGCACATGTGCGTGATGAAGATACCACGTTCGTAGGTGAATAGCTTCTGAAAGTCTGGGCCCCTCAACAAGATGGTGCTCCAAGAAGGTGTTGAAGAGCTCCTGAATCGTGTTGGGTGCCTCATTCAAATTGAAATGCTCATCTCCAGGAACCTGATCTTGTGGTAGACCATCTTGTGTGAGCCATTGCGAAGGAACATTGTGCCACTCGTCATTGATTCGATGTTGATGAAGTGGATGTTGAGAAGATGTGTTCAAACAAGAGGGATTCCACAACGGGAACGCACCAGCACCAAGCGGCTTCTTCGAACCGGTAGGGTGTGGTTGTGGTCCTACTTGTTGACAATCATCACCATGTGAAAGATCAAATCGATTCCATGTGTCTCCAAACTGATCCTCAAAGAGACCCTCAGCAAAATTGGCAAAACGTACACGTCGTTCCTTCTGGTCTCTCCTCTTTGGCATGGCTAAACCCAAACCTTGCCAACGGGGAACTGGAGGACAGTGAGGTGTGTCTTCGCACACTTCCCAGTGAAGCGCCAATGCACGTTCTGATGCTTCCCATGTTGAAATGAACCACCATTTCTGCACGATGGAGTGATTCCATTCTTGCAGGATGACGTCATTTGAGCCTGAAGCCCACTGGCCAATGCACCCGAAGGCCGTCACTGACCGGGCTTTTGAAAAGATGGCGCAGGCAGCTTGGAACCATCTGCACACCCGAGTTCTTCTCCTGCGTCGGTCTCCATGGCTGCGCTGCCTGAAGCCGTCTTCCTTGGCCTCTTGTTGGAGCGTTCCTCTGCTTCTGCCTTGTCCTTTGCAGCCTGCTCGGTGAGGGCGAGTAGATTGCTGTTCATGTTCTCCATGCCGCCCAAGATCTTGGAAGCTGCCTCGCTCTGCTCCTTGATGTCCACATCTTCGTCCGAGATCTCCTGCGTCTCGTCCGGCATGCGGGCAAGGAATTCCACTTTGGCTTTCGCAAGATCCTCTTTGGCCTTTGCAATCTCCTCTTGACATTTTGCCTCTTGCTGTTGGAATTGGCCCGTGTACTCCCTCCATCTGTCTAGCGAGGCCGTAAGAAAGCTCCTCCAATTGTTCATGAGATTTGTCCTGGCTTGGATTGCGTCTTCCATCGCGTTCCGAGCACGATCCAAATCGTTCACTGCATGATGCATCTGCTTCTTGGTGGCCTTCTTTCCAAAGGAATCGTACTTGTTGACAATCTCCTGAATGTCCTGGTCTCCCTTCTTCTTCTTGAGGAGGTTCATCACTTCGTTGAGCCTTTGCTCTGCCGGATGCTCCTGTGCCTGCACCTCCTGAGGTGGTTGAGGCATGGACATCCATGGCGCAGGGGCCGCATTGGGGCCAGTAAGAGGTGGAGGTGGAGGCGGCGCTGCAGTCTGTTGTGCTTGACTGGCCATAGCAAAATTGCCCTTCTCCTTGCCTTTGCTGGTACCCTTGCCCTGTCCTTTCTGTGGCTTCTGTTTGGTCCTCCTTCCAGACGGTTGTCGGGGGCTCTTTCTCGGACTGTTTCTTGGACTCTCTCGCCAAGCAGGGCCTGCCCACGGTGTCTCTTCGTACTCCTGGGTGTAGCCACTGTAATAGTCCGTCTGTCCCCTGCGAGAAGCATTCTTGGAGGGATATTGAATGCAGTCCTGCCATGCCTGTCCACATAGGTCGCAATAATGGGCCTGTGGCGACCTCATTTTGCGGCACGTGCCACAGAACCAACCATGACTCTCTGATTGGAGTCTCGCCATCTCGCTGCGAAGACGTCCTAGAAAGTGATGGTCTCGAGAATGATGTCGGCGAAGTCGACGATGTAGAGCTGAGATCTGTTGCGAATCCAAAGTGCACAAACCACGTTTGTGTAGGAACCAAGCCAGTCTCGCCCTTGCTCGCTGTCGCCGCTGATTGCGTCTGATGGAGTTCGTGATGATGTCCAGTGAATAGAACCCAGAAAAACCACCAAAGGCAAAAAACCATAAATCGAAATATCCAAGCACACTGCCAGGGCTAAAAACCAGTTCAGCAGGTGCTAACCACAATCCCAAACAAGATGAAGATGGTCGAGACAAAGTCAATCGCCAAGTCAAAGTTGTAGGGATAGTGAGACACCAATGCCCGCAGAAGTCAATGTCGACGAAGAAGTCGGTCGAAAAAGAGCAACTGAAAGAGCAAAGGTGTTGGCAGCCAGCCCAGTGCTGCCAGAGCACAAGATTGCCGGAAAGACGCCGGCTGCCCGCGGGTGTTCACAATTGCGACCCGCTGAGGTTGAACGAGCTAGGGGGGCCACTACCAGCACAGTCCCTAGCCGAAAACCTTTGCAGGCCTTTATAAATATATATATAATATGTTATAATCCTTTATAATCTTTATATATACTTATTGTATGTGATTGGCACAACATGGTGCAACCCAGAATGTCACAACAATTAAAAGATGCGGCAGCAGAATGGATTTCCAGCCCCTTATTGGTCCCACCTAGTCCCTACTCAGTATGTATTTACTGAATTTTATCACCATGTCCTGAAGACGAGAATGTCTCAAAAAAGGGTGGTCAAGAACACATTTGAAGACCGTCAGGCCACTTCAAGGTGCTGAGCAAACTCGTTGACTTGAAGGCGCCCTGGTTCCACAGGCTTCCTGTAGAGAACTATTGGGAAAAGCCTTTGCTGTTGCTCATTCGCAACATGTTACAACGTTTGTTTGAGGACTAGGTACATGTGGCTATTGCGCACTGCCTTCTCTTTCTCCTTAGAACATAGAAATCATATTGAATAATCTATCGAATTCCATCAAAAACATGGATAATCATTGATAGCTAATAGACAATTCATCATCAATAGATATCAATAGAAACCATATGAATCCATCAAGGCGATCAATCAGCTGCAAGTCTGCAGGCCAGCTGCAACATCAAGGACCGTCACGGCATGACACCTTTAATGGAGGCAGCTGCAGCCAACTACGCAGAGGCTGGCACGAGGACTTGAAGATCTCAAGGTGGAACAAATGGCACAAGGATGGTAACCCTTAGCACAGTGTACAATATGATACACATAATCATATAATGTATGCATTCTCTGAAAGCTTTGAGCTTGAGTCTATGATATGTATTGATATGTTATATCAAAATATATAAATTGTATTAAATTGTTTTATTGTGTCAATACTTTCCCATATTTTCCCATGAACTTACTATGAATTGACAACTCGAATCTCAGCCCATTCCCACTTGAGGCGGTGGAGAAGATGCTGCGAGAAGAGTCCACCAATGTTGGAGACAAGGTACACCCGGGTACACCCGGCTACAACGCAACAGAACCATACAGAACCACTGAGAGATACTGAGAGTCTGGCAGAATGTTGTTCTAAGATGCTGCCAGAATTGTTTGAGCATTTTGCCGAGTAATTATTTGGTGGTGACAGTGGGGAAATTGAGTTTTAATCCAGGAAGCGGTTTCGCCGTTTTCAGCTCACAAAGTCTGGATGTCGTGTGACCAGGACAATAGAGGCAGAACTGCCACAGCCTCAGGTTTTCGGTGGCATTTTTGGAGAACTGGCAATGGCACAGACATCCCTAATGATTATGCACCATAATGCACCATAGGATTTTCTCCAGTCATACGGTAGACTTTGCACAGCTGAAACGATTGATTCTCGATACTTCTCAGGCTGCAGATTTTGCCAAGTCCTTCCCAAGCCTTCGCTTGATGCTGGAGAGAGCTTATGCCTTAGGAAGTCCAAGCTTCACCAAGTGGTTCGAGGCTCTTGACTTTTCCCGATGTCTCTTGTGGTTGTTTGTTCATGATTCACCGTGTTTGAGTTTGACTGTGCCAAGGCCATTGTTCAAGAAAGGACCCGGCAATGTTTTGCATGTAGCATTGAACACGGCCCTTACACACATCAGAGCACAAGAGTGTAAGTGGTAAGCAAGAGTTTCTGACAGCGACACATGCCGCAACAGAGTTTCAGGGGGCTTTGGACTTGCCGGTTGTCTGAACGCTCGTCAGAGGACAGGGATGCAACGAAAGAGCATAGGCTTCCACGATGTGCCCATTGCACAGCCTGTCAGGGACACAGAAATTGCAGGTAGTTGTCCTTTCGTCTTGAGGAAGCCTCTCATGGGATGCAGAATAGACGGACAACCCACCCCAGTGGGTGAAATCCTAGCTGAGTCATTGAGGCCCAGGATTTGGAGAAGGATGATGCGATTTTCAGAGTCAGGTGCACTGAGTGTTCACCTTTGACAAACAATACCTAAGACCATCAAACATGCACAGAATTAGAGTAGATGACAGGCGGGCAGGCTATGACGGGCAGGCTATGACGGGCTCTAATTTCTATCACTGATGCTATCCGGATTGGATGTCAATCTGTTGCACAGGATGGAGAAGCTTCCAACCAGGATGACACTAGAGGTTCGCTGAGCTTTTCGAGTAGTAGATGAAAAGAGTTATGCAGGTACACTTGCCATACCTCAGGGAGTTCTCACTTAAAAGGGCTGCTCCACTCTTGGACAGGCTGAGTGGATGTACAACATATCCAAATATATCCAAGTTGCCAACCTACACACCCCAGACACTGACATGGAGTATGTAGAATCCATATAGGCTGCCAAGATACAGGCACCAACGCGGACGTAGAGTCAGCATGTAATGTAGAAATATGTAGAATGGCTGTAGGTTGCCAACTTACAGACCCCATCAGAGACATGGAGCAAATAATTGTACATAGCTTTGCAAATCTACAGCTTCAGATTGGCCACTGAAGTAGAGACGAAAGCTTTCAGGTAATATCTTAATTAGATTTAATTAGTAGTATGCATCAACTTGCAGGATCTTGAAAGGAAGATTCACATCTTGCTGAAAAAGGCCGTTGTGAAGCCAGTCCATATGGAGGCCGCTGCGATTCCAGCCTCTCCTATCATGGAAGGAGATCGCTGGTAGTTCGCATGTTCAGTCCTTCAATTCTTGAACTACTGAAGCTTGAGAATCGTGCAAGTCAAAATAAGATAAATATGAGTTCTGATAGTTCTATGATGTTCTGTGCGCAGGTTGTCATGGATCCCATCATGGGGCGCCCTCGCGGTCATTGCTTCATCGATTTTTTGGACTCAAGGTAAGTTGACCTGCACCGAAGTGATTTGTGGTTGTAGAAGTTGTAGAACGAACAATTCTGGAATAGTATGAAATAGCTTTAAAAGATGTTAAAAATCGCTGTTACCCTCCGGGTGTGAGTTTGACAAAAACCTTGCAGATAGTCTCAGCAGACACAGTCAACCAACCGTCAACCTGAGGTCCTCCAACAAGGCCATGGAGTTGGATGGCTCTGAACTGCCAGACGCCAAGAAGCTGCACTGGTTGCCGCAAAATGCAACATGTATGCAACATGTATGCAACATGTATACTGAGTATACTGTATGAAGGAAATCTATCAGTTTGCTGAACTGTCCAATATGGATCAAATCGTTTGGATAATGTAATTGAAACATTGCCTTTTGGAGGCTGAGTAGGTGATGGCTCAAAGAGTTGGTTTCGTTTCAGCATGAGGTTTGCTTATGTTTGCTTGATACTCCCGCCAGTGTGTTCACGTGTTTGTCCCGACATATACATATATATACGTACATACGTATATATATATAGATATAGATATAGATATAGAAAGGTTTTCGGCTAGGGACTGTGCTGGTAGTGGCCCCCCTAGCTCGTTCAACCTCAGCGGGTCGCAATTGTGAACACCCGCGGGCAGCCGGCGTCTTTCCGGCAATCTTGTGCTCTGGCAGCACTGGGCTGGCTGCCAACACCTTTGCTCTTTCAGTTGCTCTTTTTCGACCGACTTCTTCGTCGACATTGACTTCTGCGGGCATTGGTGTCTCACTATCCCTACAACTTTGACTTGGCGATTGACTTTGTCTCGACCATCTTCATCTTGTTTGGGATTGTGGTTAGCACCTGCTGAACTGGTTTTTAGCCCTGGCAGTGTGCTTGGATATTTCGATTTATGGTTTTTTTGCCTTTGGTGGTTTTTCTGGGTTCTATTCACTGGACATCATCACGAACTCCATCAGACGCAATCAGCGGCGACAGCGAGCAAGGGCGAGACTGGCTTGGTTCCTACACAAACGTGGTTTGTGCACTTTGGATTCGCAACAGATCTCAGCTCTACATCATCGACTTCGCCGACATCATTCTCGAGACCATCACTTTCTAGGACGTCTTCGCAGCGAGATGGCGAGACTCCAATCAGAGAGTCATGGTTGGTTCTGTGGCACGTGCCGCAAAATGAGGTCGCCACAGGCCCATTATTGCGACCTATGTGGACAGGCATGGCAGGACTGCATTCAATATCCCTCCAAGAATGCTTCTCGCAGGGGACAGACGGACTATTACAGTGGCTACACCCAGGAGTACGAAGAGACACCGTGGGCAGGCCCTGCTTGGCGAGAGAGTCCAAGAAACAGTCCGAGAAAGAGCCCCCGACAACCGTCTGGAAGGAGGACCAAACAGAAGCCACAGAAAGGACAGGGCAAGGGTACCAGCAAAGGCAAGGAGAAGGGCAATTTTGCTATGGCCAGTCAAGCACAACAGACTGCAGCGCCGCCTCCACCTCCACCTCTTACTGGCCCCAATGCGGCCCCTGCGCCATGGATGTCCATGCCTCAACCACCTCAGGAGGTGCAGGCACAGGAGCATCCGGCAGAGCAAAGGCTCAACGAAGTGATGAACCTCCTCAAGAAGAAGAAGGGAGACCAGGACATTCAGGAGATTGTCAACAAGTACGATTCCTTTGGAAAGAAGGCCACCAAGAAGCAGATGCATCATGCAGTGAACGATTTGGATCGTGCTCGGAACGCGATGGAAGACGCAATCCAAGCCAGGACAAATCTCATGAACAATTGGAGGAGCTTTCTTACGGCCTCGCTAGACAGATGGAGGGAGTACACGGGCCAATTCCAACAGCAAGAGGCAAAATGGCAAGAGGAGATTGCAAAGGCCAAAGAGGATCTTGCGAAAGCCAAAGTGGAATTCCTTGCCCGCATGCCGGACGAGACGCAGGAGATCTCGGACGAAGATGTGGACATCAAGGAGCAGAGCGAGGCAGCTTCCAAGATCTTGGGCGGCATGGAGAACATGAACAGCAATCTACTCGCCCTCACCGAGCAGGCTGCAAAGGACAAGGCAGAAGCAGAGGAACGCTCCAACAAGAGGCCAAGGAAGACGGCTTCAGGCAGCGCAGCCATGGAGACCGACGCAGGAGAAGAACTCGGGTGTGCAGATGGTTCCAAGCTGCCTGCGCCATCTTTTCAAAAGCCCGGTCAGTGACGGCCTTCGGGTGCATTGGCCAGTGGGCTTCAGGCTCAAATGACGTCATCCTGCAACAATGGAATCACTCCATCGTGCAGAAATGGTGGTTCATTTCAACATGGGAAGCATCAGAACGTGCATTGGCGCTTCACTGGGAAGTGTGCGAAGACACACCTCACTGTCCTCCAGTTCCCCGTTGGCAAGGTTTGGGTTTAGCCATGCCAAAGAGGAGAGACCAGAAGGAACGACGTGTACGTTTTGCCAATTTTGCTGAGGGTCTCTTTGAGGATCAGTTTGGAGACACATGGAATCGATTTGATCTTTCACATGGTGATGATTGTCAACAAGTAGGACCACAACCACACCCTACCGGTTCGAAGAAGCCGCTTGGTGCTGGTGCGTTCCCGTTGTGGAATCCCTCTTGTTTGAACACATCTTCTCAACATCCACTTCATCAACATCGAATCAATGACGAGTGGCACAATGTTCCTTCGCAATGGCTCACACAAGATGGTCTACCACAAGATCAGGTTCCTGGAGATGAGCATTTCAATTTGAATGAGGCACCCAACACGATTCAGGAGCTCTTCAACACCTTCTTGGAGCACCATCTTGTTGAGGGGCCCAGACTTTCAGAAGCTATTCACCTACGAACGTGGTATCTTCATCACGCACATGTGCGACAGTGGAATACGCCGCGCATCATAGAGTTGGATGGACATTGGCGGCACTGGGCACGCGACATTGCAGAAGGCTGGCGAGACCATGTTCGACTTGATGAGGATATTGCCTTTCATGTCTGCCATCCTGACCCTCCTCGAAATGTAGGTGCTCAGTGGGAGATTTCCTTTGATCTCATTCTGGCACAGGGACTCGACATGCCTTCTTGGTCAGGTCTCATCACCGTCCTTAGAGTGGGGGATCGTGCAAGTAGAGCAGAGTACAGTTTGGCGGTATCTTTACCACAATATGTGAGTGGATTTCTTCTTGCTCAAGAGGCCAACCAACTTCAACAATGTCACCTACGGGGTTGTCGGCTGCGTCATGCGAGAAATGTGATTCCTTTCAGCATTGACCCTGTGCATGCCATGACCAATGGGGACGCTTTTATCATCCAACCTGAAGGGAGTCAGGCTGCTGCGGCCGCCCCTGAAGCAGAGACTGCCACCGGGGATGTGCAGATGGATTATGAACCAGAAGAACAGCAACATGAAGGTTTTCAGGATCATGACAATGATGAACCACCTGATGCGGAGTCCTCATCATCTGATCTACCTCATGAATTGCAGGCAGTTCACATTTTTCGACTTGGCCACTGGCCCAACTTTGGTCACATCGATTGGAGATCCTATCATGCAGCGCTCCGAGATGCAGCTCAATTGGTTCGGGCTCACATCAACCATTTTGTCGGCTTTCACTATGTACATGTCAGCCTTGTGGGGCATCAAGCAGGAGAAGAAGCAATTATACTTCAACACGTCAATGACATTGCGTTGGGCTCTTTGGAGAAGCTTGTCATTGTGGATACTGTCCTTCATACCAATCGCCTGAATCAGGGCGTGCCAGACAATCCTGCTGTAACCCGAGAGGTTTACAAGGTGCAACCGCAGTTGGCACGAAGACACCTTCTGCTGATGGCACAAGTTGATGCCTACTGCACATGGATGGCCGACACATGCATTGTTGAGCACAATGGTCACATTTGGCACCGTAATGACCCTCAACTACGCCAAGTTGAACACGGAGCTGTCTTTCGGATCCAGCTGCCACCACCTCTGAATCCTGCATGGAACATTGGCCAAGCGGTTCGAGTTGCCCACGAGACCGGGGAGATCCTCGACTTTCCGGAGGCGGGACAGCTCGCGCACTCCATCTTGGATGGCAATGTGGAGCACAATCGTCTTGATTTTGGTGAAGTTGCTCGCGATGGAGCGAGATTGGTCACATGCAAAGGAAATGATCAGGTTGAGGCCACTGACATACCGACCACCTTTCCGCCGGGTACAAGGATGCCCCGACTCAGACCCCGGCATGATGGCAAGTTTGATTGGCTCGATCAACTTGTTGACATTTTCCGAGCAAATGCTGAAGCTGAGACCATTGAAGGTGATCCGCTCTTGTACATTCAGACTTGGTACATTCATCACCAGCGTCTTCGACGATGCCCTGATCCGCGGCCGCTACGGCTGGACAACGCCATCATTGGTTGGGTGGAAGAGCTGCGATTTGCTTGGCGAGATCTTCTTGACCGTCACATTGACTTCAGCATTCATGTGGTAAGTCCCCGACCTCCACAACTTCGTTTTCAGGATTATGCCTGCCATGTGATTCTTGTGCAAGCACCACAACTACATAGGGCTGCGGGCATCATCACAAACCTCTTTGAAGGGCCTGACAGAGATGCTATTCAGCAGTTTGCACTCTCCTTCCCGAAGAGGATCAACAAGCCCACTGTCATTGATGAATTACGGCTACAGCCACAATGCGACACACGCAGATGCACAATTCATGCTTGTGGAGAACTGGTACATCTGATCTTGATCACGGAGTTGCCGGAGGGCTTCAACCTGTGTACAAGAATTTCTGATCCTACACTACAAAGACCAATACCTCCACTCGCTGAAACAGAGCACTTTGAAGATGTCATCTTTATGCAGAGTGGCCAGCCACAGACATCGTTGACGACTGCTACAAGTGCGAGTGCTTCCTCGATGCCGAACACGGTTTGTGGTCCTTTTATTTTCAATGCTGATGCACCGCCTTTTGTGCCTGGTATACTTCCTATTGAGGCCATGTCGGAATTTGTTCAAGATCTACATGACCTTTGGCTACAGGAAGCATTCAATTGGGAAGATGAGGAAAAATCTTGCACCTTCACTACGTGGCTTGCTCATCACCCAAATGACTACAAACATTGCACTCGACCACGCAATGTGCGCCTCTATGAGAGCTTTGCGATGTGGGAGCAGACCATACGTCAAACATGGCAAGATGAAATCGAGGCTGACTCCGATCTTGAATTTCATTTGGTGTCTCCCACCCCACCACATTTAGGTGGCAATGCGGTGGGGCACATCATCATCATCAAGAATCAAGTTGACAATCTCGTGACGAATCTTGTCACTGTCATTGACCATACTAGAGTTGCTGAACACGGACGCATTCAAAGGATGGCAGCAACCACAGGAGAGCACCTGCTCCTGGAGGACGTCCTTGAGATTGTGGGTTATGGTGGAGCCTGCATCCCTCACAATGCGCCCATGAACTGTAGAGCTTGGATTGGAGACATGGGTCTCCGCCTTGGACGTCCAATTCCAGGTCGAAGTGGCCACAGTATCCATATCAATGTGCATCGACGCACGAGACCAGCTGGTGATGGACTCAACCTCCTACAATTGTCCAGGCCTACATTGACAGACGAGCGCCTAACACAGGGATCGGTGGCTCACGTCCCTGGGCCGTCTGACCTATGGCCTGATGGATTCAATGTCTTCCAACCAATATGTGAGGAGGAGAGACATGACGAAATTGCCACAGTTGCTGTTCAGCTCTTACGTGGCCATGATGACATTGGACCCCTTCCCTCCTTTGTGGAGATTGTCGCTCCAGCAACTGTTGAGAGCGTCCAGGAAGAGTTGTCCTGTTTTGGCATTCAATGCCAAGTGTCTTTACTTGGCCATGGTAATCACGCGCTTTGTTTGCCCACTGACTGGGTCCCAGATCATGAAGAACATCATCTTGCGTATGTGGACATGAGTGCTCCATCCAGCTCTGATGTCCTTCTGCATACGGTGAAGAAGCTGGAGAAAGAAAGAACCCTTGACCACATGCGCTTCCTTTATGGACTGGGTTTTGAGAAGGCAGTGATTATGCAGGAGATTGAACATTTCAGAGGCCTTGTGGAGGTTCAATTCATGGTTTCTGTTGGACATCTTGAATTTGATTCTCGACCACCCAAACCAGCCTCCACCTGGCCGAGTCGGCAACCACAGATCAATGACGGACCTATGTATGAAGTTCCGTCGACTAGTTCCACACCAGCATGTCTCCTGGCTCTGGGGGTGACGAGTGACCAACTTCTTGAGTTCTTTTCACACTCACAAGACCAAGTATTGTGCCAGCTCATCGATGGCTTTGACTTTCCTGAGGTCGTACAGCAGCACCTTCAACGACTCTCACCCATTGACCATGTTGACCGCATTATCATTTACACAGATGGCTCATCACACTCTGGTCGCTATCATTTAGCGCCTGAGCTGGTGGAGGAACAGCATATTCCAGACGCATGGGCCTTCGTGGCGTTGGGAGAGCAGTATCATGATGATGGTTCTACTTACACCCTCCTGGGGTGGAAAGCCCACCAGGTCAGATGTGCTGAAGACCACCCCTGGCACATCGGTTCCCGTGCTATTGGACCATGGGTTGCAGAAAGGGAGGCGATGATCTGGGCTTTTTTATGGAGGATTGGCTTGAACCGGAGAACCCCAACTCTTTTCCGGTCTGATTCATCCTTGACGATTGGACAAGCTGAAGGTACGCTAGGAGCTGCACACTATGATGACACTTTTGGACTTCTGCGTGGATGCCATCAGCTTCTTACAGCCGCACTTCCAGAAGATTGCATCAGGATGGAGCATCTATATGGACACAACAACGAGCCATGGAATGAAATGGCTGACCATCTTGCGAAAATGGAAGCGCGCAAGGGACTTTTTCTACCAAGAGGGGACTTTTGCATCGCACCATGGCGACAACTGATTCCCTACCTCTGGATGGTCTTCGGCTCTCAAGATGGCCTCCCCATGCATTGTCACGAAGGTTTTGCCATCCCTGCCCCAAGATTGCCGCTGCCATGTAAGGAGATATCTCCTGCAATCAAGCATGATGCCATTGAGGTGCAGTTCACCATCAGCTTTGCAACCGCCAATGTGCTTTCGATGAGCTCGAAACCTCATGGACATGCGGGAAAGGTGCACTACCTGCGTGAACAAATGGTCAGTCATGGTTTGAACTTTTCTGGTTTTCAAGAGACAAGAGGACAAGAAGGTGCCTCTTTGGTAGATCAAGTCTTCCGGCTATGTGCAGGGGGCAAAGGAGGGCAACATGGAGTGGAGCTTTGGTGCAATCTCAAACAACCATACTGTCAAGTTCAAAGAAAACCTCAGTTCTTCCACAAGAATGACTTTGTAGTGCTTCATGCGGACCCGCAAAGACTCCTGGTCAAGGTTGAAGCCAAGTGGCTCAACATATGGATTCTGGTGCTACATGCACCTCACAGTGGCATATCGGCTCAGCAACGACAAGATTGGTGGAATGATACTGCGTCATTCTTGGAGGAGCAGCACATTTCCACTGAACAACTTTTTGTTTGTGCCGATGCTAATGCAGCACCAGGAGATTGTGATGGTCACCATGTGTTTCAAGAGGGGCTTCCCACGACAAGTTCCACATCCCTTTTGCGGACCTTTCTGGAAACTTTTGAGCTTTGCTTGCCAGCGACTAGCCAACTTCATGAAGGTCCCAGAGAGACATGGATGCACCCCAATGGAAGGGCTTCACATCAAATCGACTTTGTCATGGTCCCCACTCACATGGCAACTTCCTGTACGTTTTCGAGCCTTTTGGAGACCTTTGATCTTGGGAACCAAGTGGAAGACCACACGGCTACGGCCTTGGAACTTCACTGGTCACAGCTGCTCTCCAGACCGCTCAAAGCGACCCCTTTCTCTGAGAAGCCGACCTTTGCCAGAGAACGCATCAAACAGGCCAATTTGAGATCGGGTTTGATGTCACTATCCACATCAGTGTGGACGTGTGATGTTGAGACGCACACGAGCCACATGAACAATCAACTCCATCATCTCTTGCATCGGTCCTGTCCTCTACCGAAAGGGACCCCGAAGCGATCTTATGTGTCTGATGATGCATGGGATTGGAGAAGGCAGAAGCTGCACCATCGGAAGGCCATGAAGACTGCAAGGGCCCTTTTGCGCAGAGAAGCGCTAGCACGCATCTTTGCAGCCTGGCGAGCACCCTCTGCGCAACTTCTGGAGCTATCATTTGTGTTTGGTTCTACACTTCGATGTGGCCTCTTTAAGCACTACATTGGTTTCAGACGCTCTGCTGCAGCATTGCAGCGAGATTTGGCAGCTGCGAAGTCCCGTCATCTACATGAAACTCTGGCCACGATTGATGAGGGAACAGCTGCTTCTGAGATCCAACACAAGTTGAAAGGATTCATGGGATCTTCCAACAAGCTACGTCAAGGCCTTGCACCTTTACCAGCTTTGCGAAACGCACACAACCTTCCCTGTAGCTCAACTTCTGAAACACTGTTTCGCTGGATTCAGTTCTTTGCGGACATGGAGGGAGGTGAACGTGTGCCTTTCTCGCAATTGCATGCGGAATGGGTTAGGCAACTGCAAGACTTCAGTGAAACGGCACAGGTGCTTTCGATCTCTGACCTTCCAAGCTTGAGTGCTTTGGAAGCATCCTGCCGACGAGTCAAAGCAGGCAAAGCTGATGGACCAGATGCCATTCCGACAGAACTTTGCAAGTTCTACCCTGTTGAGACGGCTCGCATGATGTATGCCCTCATGATGAAGCTTGTCACACATGGTCATGAGCCTCTCCTCCACAAGGGTGGCACTGTCATCCCCATTTGGAAGGGAAAGCTCGCCAAAGACACGTGCGAGGCGTACCGTTCCATTCTGCTGTCCTCGACTTTGGGCAAAGTTGTTCATCGGACGTTGAGAATCCACCAAAAGGACATCTATGAAGCCTACCTGCATTCACAACAGCTGGGAGGACGATGCCATGTCCCTGTCACTTTGGGCGCACATCAGACGCGAGCTTTTGTCCGATGGCATCGTGATTGTGGGCATCCCACCGCAGTGCTGTTTGTAGATTTACAGGAAGCATTCTATCGAGTGCTTAGGCAGCTCGCCTTGCCTGGCTCCTTTGAAGATGAAGCACTTGCCAAATTGGCACAGAGGCTCGGCTTAGGACCAGATATCCTACACGAGCTCTGGAAGCACCTGCAGGAACCCTGTGCTCTTGACAGAGCAGGTATGCCTGCTTGTGCTCAACGAGTTGTTAGAGCGCTCCACTCCAACACGCACTTTCAGCTCCCACAACAAGATGATCATGTTCAGACGAAGCTTGGCACTAGACCAGGTGATGCATATGCAGACATTGTTTTTGGGTTCTTGCTAGCGCGTGTCCTACACTCCTATGAAGAGCAGCTGGCGCAAGCTCAAGTCCTATCCAGTGTCCCTAGCCAAGAAGGGATGGAGCTCTTCAATGTGGAGGTCCAGCAGAATGCAGAGATGTGCCGGTTTCTGGGCCCAGTCTGGATGGATGACATGGCGCTATGCCTTTGGAGCGAGACGAATGCTGGTCTCAAAGCGAAGATCGGGGTCGCTACGAGCATCTTACTGAACATTTTCAGAGAACATGCAATGACACCCAATCTGCGTCCTGGCAAGACGGAGCTTATGGTCAGCCCGAGGGGGCCAGGCACTCGAGCATGGAAGAAAGAGATGTTTGGACCGCTCTCCACGAAGCACTTTCCTGCGATTGGAGAACATGGCCTTTATCATGTTCATTTGGTGACCTCCTACACGCACTTGGGAGGAGTGATCCACTACACAGGAGAAGTACGGGCTGAGGTGAGGAGGAGAGTTGCCATTGCTCATCAAGCGTTCAGCAAACATAGGAAGCTGGTGTATCAATGCCGAGCTTTTTCGCTGCACAAGAGAGCTGAAATCTTTCGCAGCTTGATTTTGAGCCGTTTGCTGTATGGTGCTGACTCTTGGGCATTATGGGACTCCCATTCGAAGATGAAGCTCCACTCTGCCATCATGAAGCTCTATCGCCGCTTGTTGGGTAGTGCCCACAACGCTCACATGCAAGACGATGAGATTCTATGGCGTGTGGGGCTCTCTTCACCTACGGACCTATTGCGCCTCTGCAGGTTGCGGTACATTGGCTCTCTCTGTGCCATAGGCCATACAGCATGCTGGGGGCTGCTCAACAAGGACCGACTCTGGCGAGTTCTGGTGGAAGATGACATGAAATGGGTGTGGCACAATTTAGCCAACACTTGTGACCTTGGTGATCCTACTCATCATATGCAGCGCTGGTTTGAGGTCATTCGTTTCCATCGTGGATTTTGGAAGGGCCTTCTTAAACGAGCTGAGAAACATGCTATTCTTCAACAAGCAATGCGATTCCAATGTGGCAAATTTCACCAGACAGTGCGAGGTCTGTTAGCTGAATGTGGCTTTTGGAATGCGCTTGACAGATTTGTCCATTTTGCTGCAGATGCACCTTCATTTGGATGCATGCTTTGTCAGCGACGATGCCGATCAAGGGGTGGTGAAGGTGCGCACATGTGCCGCAAACATGGACAGATTCAACCAATCCGACACTACATCGCTGGTACCCAGTGTGGGGCATGCTTGAAAGAGTACCACACGGCGGGACAGATACAGCAGCACCTTTTGCGCAGCGCCGACTGTCGCACCTACCTGCTACACCATCGCCTTCAAGGAAACGTTCTTCCTGGTATTGGCTCTCGTGAAGATGCACTTCGTCGGCAGGAACATGATGGACGCTTGCCACCTTTACAAGCTAGCGGTCCCACGAAGCCATGGAGAGGAGGACTTGATTTCTCCCTGATTGACTTTGACTTGCACGATGCATTGGCGTTAGTCATTGTGGATGCGCAAACCAACCCGGATATTGCGGGCCTGGAAGTTTGTCTTCGTGCGGAGATCCTTCGCTGGCCTACGTCTTGGACAAGATGCAGGGCTACCCTTGGCGAGCTCGCAGACACTGTTCTCCATGAGCAATTGGGTTGGGAGGCCTTGTCACGCGATGACGTCCTTGCTCTTCTCCATCGTTTGTCTACGACCTCATCGTGGCCCTTCCTGGTTGATGAGCAGGTGCCAGACGAGACCTATATGGACACTTTGGAGAACATGGAGAAAGATTGTCGTGAAGAGACGTTGGGTTGTCCGCCAGCAGGGACCCCTTCAGTTCCACGCATGTGTGGTCGACATCAGATCGTTTTACATGCTTTCAGCGGCCGTCGCCGCCCGGGAGACCTGCAATTTTACATGGAGCAGATGTATGATCGGGCTGCAGAAGGCATTCACTTGACGGTGGTTTCTCTTGACATTGTTACTGACCCTGTTCTGGGCGACGTCACTGTCCAAGAGACGCAGGACTTCTGGTTTCATCACGCCTCATGCGGTGCTGTGGCGGGCTTCCTCTGTGGCCCTCCATGTGAGACCTGGAGCCGCGCTCGTTTTGTTGCAATGCTCAAGACCACCTCGCAGCGCAGGAGCCCACGGCCAGTTCGTTCAGGAGAAGACTTGTGGGGACTTTGCTCTCTCAGTCTTAGGGAAGCCAGACAGGTTGGCGTGGGGAATCTTTTGCTCTGCTTTGCACTGGAGATGCTTTTCAGACTGGCACTGGTAGGCGCCAGCGGTGTGTTGGAGCATCCTGACACGCCTCCAGATGAATCAATGCCGTCGATCTGGCGCTTGCCCATCATGCTGTGGTTATTGCAGATGCCAGGCATGAGCACCTTCTCTTTCAGCCAGGGCCTTCTTGGAGCACCAACACCCAAGCCGACGAGACTCCTGGTTCTGAATATGTGTGATTTGATGGGTGAGCTGCGCCGACATCACCTTTGCCGAGATCTCCCTGCGCGCGCGGCAATTGGGCGTGATGAGGACGGAGCATGGCAAACGTCCAAGCTCAAGGAATATCCACCTGCAATGAGCCGAGCTCTTGCGTCCAGTTTTGTCAGGACCCTCTCAGCATGCCAGTTTGAGGAAACTGTGCAGCTGGATGAGGCCTTTGTAAAGAAATGTGCTGCCATGGACACAAAGTCCTTTGGCACGAAGATTGGCATGGACTTCGCTGGCCAATCTTGAACTCAGATGAGGCGAGCCGCACCGGAAAGGATCAGTGTACTTGTGTAAAAAAATAGATATAGATATAGATATATATATATACATATATATATATATATATATATATATCGCGCACAATCACATTTGCCAAGGGCGGGTCAGCGAATCCGGATGTTCCGAGATGTGGCATTGGCTATGGTAAGATGAGGACCTTTGTGCGTTTCTGGATTGTGTTCTGACATTAGAATATACTATATTCTGTAGTGGAATGTATATCATAGCTATTATGTATAACACTATTATAGATAATTATTGTGCAATTATAAATACAGAAGTTATGTAATTATATTATATACAGATTATAATGATTATATACGTGTATGTGTGTGTGTGTCCCAGCAACATTTGGTTTCTCTCACTCCATCACAGGACCCTGACTGGAAGCCAGAACCTTAAGCCAAACTACTGAGACGTCCTTAGGGTTCGAAGAAGATAAGACATTTTAACAACAAGCGACCGAGAATTTTGTAGCCTTCTAGCTACTCTTAGAAGCCACTTCCCTGAAAGGGAAGCGCCATTTATATCTATTTATCAGCTGGTTGTAGGCATGTAAGCAGTGGCAAGATGTGCGTGCTTCTCTGGAATATCCGGCACGGATGAGTCCGATTTAGTTCATTGTGAGAATGCCTCAGCTTGCTTCAGATAATGAGTTTTATAGGGACTGCACTCCTGCGAAGTCAAACTACGGGAGCTTCCCTTTGAAGCCCAAAGTGGCATTTTGCATATTGGCTTGACGAGAGTCATTTGCATAGTGACAAAGTGTAAATATTGCTGGTAACTGTAGATGGCTCAGTCCTTTGGCATCGCCAGTGGTTTTGCACAGTGTGGAGCTGGTGACCAGTGAAGCTGGTTACACAGGAAGAGACTCTTAGCATCTCTTAGCCGTATTGCAATCGTTGTCGTGATGTGTAAGCCTAAAAGCATTAGATTGCCATGCTTGGTGCAACTCACACTCAAAGTGAATAATATCTTCTCAATGTTTAGAGTGATCGCTTGTGAGTTCAGCTTCAGGTACTTACTGCCTGGTTTCAAAGCTTTGAATTTCTTACAAATCCAGGGGGTGGTATTTGAAGATGGCATATTCGTTCAGACTCACTACACGTACTTGACGGTTTCTCCACAAATGTGATTTGTGAAGTTCCAAAAGATAGTTTCATTAGGGAGCAACATTTGCATGTGTATCAAGGTGCGCATTGTGATTTCCATTTGAGTTTCGCTTTTGTCCTGCGGTCACAGTGACATCGTTGGCAAGCTGGGGCTTGCATCGCCGAAGCTTTACGGAAGCTTTATGGATGGCTTGAATAATTTACAACAAACATAGGAAAAAAGGTACAAAAAAACTCACCTGTAGCTGCTACCCATTCAAGAATCTTCCGCGGGAGACGAACTTAAAATAAACAGAGACAAATTGCAAGCTAATTGAAACACATGTGGTTTGTGGAGAGAGGTCCATGGCGTTGAACAAATCGTTGAAATCAATTGAAGAGTTGACAGTTGAGAAGTTTATTTTAGGCGGTGATATGCCGTGGCCAAGGCCACAAACCCCAGAGCTTGGAGCGATCCAATGGACAAGAACCAATCTCAACGGATCCACCAGTTTGGCAAAGAATTGAACAGTTTCAATCCCTCGGTGCGATGGTCTGTGAAGACGCTGGTGACGACAAGGCCAGATGTGCAAGCCACCAGTTTGACCTCACAGAGGAGTGTCAAGCATTCCCAGTGTCATCCAGTGTCCAAAGGCTTGTCCAAAGGTATGAATGGCATGGGAAGCGGAGCGAATTTTGAGGCAGCACGCATCAAGAAGTGGCTCTCGACAGCCCGATGTCGCCTGGACCAGGAGGAGCTCCGCATAGCTCCGCTTTTCAACTGGATATCACACCCTGGACACATTGATGTACCAAAGACAGAATTGGTTATGAATTGGTTGATATTGCAGGTCCAAAGACGTAGAGATAGTGGTGTTTGTGGCGTGTGTGGTGTTTGTGCAAGTGAGCCTGTATGTGTTTGTGTGCGCATGTGCATAGCAGTACCAAAGTGAGCCATGGTTCAAAAGTGTTCAAAATCATTGTTGTGAACCTCGGTGCGATTCCGACAGTTTGGCCGAATCAAACACACACAAGGAGGGACCCGTTGTTTGGATGTTTGAGTATGTTTGAACTTCTGAAAGACTTTTGCATGTGTTTCTCAGCCTTCAAATCATATCAAATCATGAACTGCATGTTTGTTGGACTGCTGAAAACTGAAGTAAGCACCAGGACTATGATTTGTTCCGGAAGGAACTGCCTAAGCTACGTCAAAACGAAGCGGCGGCTGAGGTAGTCCTTGCACGTCCTTCATATTGTATCATGTTGATTCACATTGTATCGTATTGTATCCTTACTTCCATGATTCAATTATGATTGCTTATGTCCTTTTGTCCTTGGCTTTGTCCTTTGTCCATGCGAGATTTGTCAGAAGGACAAGTGGCTAGCATTTCCCTCGCTTTTGAACCTTTTGAGGCGGAGTCAGTGCTCAAGAAGCTTGCAGAACTTCTTTGTCGTGCTGTGCGCCCTTGAGAACCGCTTTCTTTTCAAACTTTTGTGTCCATCAGTAGTGTCCTTTGGTGTCGATTTTCTGTTCAACGTTGCAGATTAGAAAAGGTGACCCATGTGGTCAGCTGATGTTGCAAGCTCTCGTGCAAGGAATTTCCAGAAGGTCCTCAAGAAAAACTCGAGTTTCTTCTAGGCTTGGAAAAGATCCAAGCGATTTTGACTTGAATCGCGAGGATGATCTTGAAAGTGTCCTAAGTAATTTTAGAATCATCACTGAGCAGATTGTATCGAAAACTTGCACACTGGTTATAGACTACAATCATTTGCAATGATATTACCATCGACTGGGACTATAGGGCTAAACCTGATTTGAATGTGTTCAAACATCCAGCAAAATGTTCATGTATGTCTATGCCCTTTCTTTCAGAGGTTTCGAAACGTCCAGCCAGCAGTCTCTGCAGGCTTTAGAGATGGTCTACCTCCACATTTGAGAGACAGGCAAGTGTCGTCCAACGTCATGCAATGTCCACTGCCTTTGTTATTTTGAAAAATGGAACCTATGGAACCTCACAGCTCAAAGTGGAAAAATTGCCATAATATATTATATATATATTGCCATAATATATTGCCATTTGTTTGCATGATTTTGCATGCTGGAAATGTACGGAGTGGAGCTTCATGCCCGAGTCCACCCCAAAGGCGGCATCTGAGGTGGAAAGACCTGCATCCAGAAGAACCTGCGGCAAAAGCTGCAGGCAGTGACGTTCGGAGCTGCCATGAGCTGCAAATCAATTTTCAGGCCTTGTATTTGTGTGTAAGATGCATACAAATGCATACAAATGCATACAAGGGATTGCAAAATCATATCAGAAACTGTTGAAGAGAATTGCCAGTCAAGACTAGACCTGAGCAACGGGGGTCTGTTCAATGGTGACACTCACAAGCCCTCTTGGAAGCCGAAACAGCATGGGCCATTGCGGCAAACCGCTCTGGTTCTCGCAACATGGTGAAGGCAGGTAACCAGAATGAACCAGATGGGTTCTGAGCTTTAGTAGGACTCTTCATTTCAAGGTGGCAGCTGCGTCAGGCTCAAAGTTGTGGGTCTGCAAGTTCTTGGGGGTTTTGAAGGTATCCATAAGCAAGCAAGATCTCCCCCACTGTACCCGAGAAAAGTACTTGCAAGGGGGCTAAATGGACTTGAAAGGGACTCCCCAGACCAACGATTGAAAGTCCAGCTTTGACTCGACCTTGATACTTGGAAGGTACTGCACCAAGCCCTTGTCTCATCACTGGGACATACGAAAGATGTTCTGCGAGCAGCCATAAAGATTTACAGTCATGTACAGTACACTCCCAAGGGAAGTTTGTCCGTCAGCACCAAGTTGTCACGGGCAAATCCACCTCGAGGTCCTGAGTCCGGAGGGGGACATGGGGACCTTGGTCCATTTTGTTTCAAGGATCCATTCACTCTTCAAGAAGCAGCACATCCCGGAGGCTAATAGCCAGGAGCCATGGCTGTCGCCCGCCGTTCTCCGCTCTTTGCATCAAGCGTTCATGCTGCATGTGCTCTCAGCAGACGGCGACGGAATGTTTGCATCCGTGGCTTCAGCGCTGTGGTGCCGCCACCTGGATGAAATGTGCTGCAGGAACCGTGCGTTTTTCCCCCTGAGTGTGGCTTTTGCCAATTAGAGCAGATAAAGACAAGCTGTTAGTTTTCTTGCGCCTCTGAGCCTCAATGAAATGAAAACAGCACTGGCTAGCCACAGGGTCTTCATGAGCGCAGGGTCAAAAGTTTGCCCGAGGCAAAGTGTGGAGGGAACATTGAAGGGTATGCCTATCGGGTTGGATTTGCCAAGGCTGGTGATGGGCTGGTTCTTTGACAACTGAAGCAGAAGCAGGGTTCTTTGCGAAGAAGGTTGAAATGTTACAAGGTACGTAGATGACAAACACACCAGCAAGAGCTACAGAATCGCATGATTCATTCCAAAACAGCCCATCATCTCAGGCGTTTCAAAGGAAGCGACTTCAACGTTGAGAGTTGTCGCACTGCTTGCGATGCATTGGCCGATAGCATAGCCCAAGGCGCAGTAAGGTGAATCCAGTGAGCAGTGTCAGCGCTTGTCTGCTTCCGAAATATCTCCAAGGCTTCTATGTTTGCGTATCCTGACGATATCTGACGATCCAGGGCTCGCATGGGCTTGCCCTTGTTTGCCCATGTTTGCCGTTTATGGCTTTCAGCTTTGTCTTCCAGGCAACCACCATCATGTGGACGGGTTGATCACTGCCCTGCGCCTCATGATGCCTGCTCAGAGTGGCTCTGAGCGAGCTTTTGCCAGGCAGGAATTTAAGAATGAGAACAACATGAGAACAGAATGATACAAAATGCATAAATTCGATCAATCTAGGCATTTGACCTGTTTTGACATACTATCGCACTCCACTTTAACATCTTAACTTTGTCAATGCTTGTCAATATGTCAATTTCTGAAGCTTCCACCGCACCCCAGCTCCGAACAGGCCAAGGGATGACTTCATTCTACGGCCAGAAGTGCTGCTGTGGTCCAAGCAAGATTTTCTGGGCGGACTTGAGGCGGGTTTGATGTTTGTTTCCTGAGAATAGGAGGTGACTTGAAGTGAGTTAAGACATGTTAAGACATGTTAAGGCCACGTTGGAGCTTGTTTTTTTTGCTGTTTTTCCATGGGTAGCCTCTCGGTTTGCAGGAAAACATGCGGATTGTGCAGAAATGTGAGGCAGTCAGCGCCTGAGTGAAGACGCAAGAAGCCGTCTAGATTTCAGTATTGTTGGATTTTGTCCAGTCGTAACTAACTTCCGTTCAAGGATTTTGCCCAACTCATGGCCTCTTATCCAGAAGGCTTCCGTGCACCTGAGATCTTGGCTGCAGGCAAGCTGGAGACAGCACCGCATGAAAAAGGATGCAATATGAATCAGAATCTAGAAGTAGCGAGGAGCACGAGCCTTGGAGAAAGTTTCCTGTTAATGTTGAGCAGTTCTGGTTAGGCCTTGACCTTGCTGTGGTTTACCTCAAGAACTATTCCTTGGACAAGGCCAATTGGGGTCTGGCAAACCTCAAGACATCTCAAGACTCATCAAGACTCAAGATTTGAAGCTACTGCCAGCATATGCCAGCATATGCCAGCACTCCTTGAAACCGTCCAACTGTAGAGCTGATAGAGCTGGGCAGATAAGGATAGCGTGTAACTGTGTAGCATCATCTAGCATCTCCAGCTCAACAAGCACCAGCTGGCAGCAATAGGAATGATAGAGCATAAGCGGCAGACGCGTTTCTTCATAGGTTTTCGGCTACACGCCGCGCCTAGTTGATAAAATTCCAAGTTTGCAGGATTCCAGTGGTTTTTATGTTGTTTTTCCATGTTTCCCCCAGAAGGACTGTCCAGATTGTGGCATGAGTTGCGTCAGGCTGATACACTGTATTCAGCCATGGAATCTCAATGCATGTCGCGGGGCTTGCCATGGGACGTGCCTTGGATCAAGTAGATCAAGTAGATCAAGTAGACAAGTCGCGGTTTTCGCTTCAAGACATCTCCGCGCTGCGGGTCTTCTGAATATTCTAAATGAATTCTAAATGACCCTATCTCCGAACATCCGAACATCAGACTTCGTCAGGGCCGAGTCACATTTGTTTCGTTTGTTTCAGTTCTTTGCCCAGGTGAAGTTCATGCAGGACCTCGCCACACTGCGATGCAAGCAGCATCGCCAGGCAGAAGCCGCGCAGCTCTTGGAGGAGAATTCCAGCTGCAGAATCATGCAGAATCACTATGAAACACAGGTTATATTACAATATGTTACAATATGTTTACATATGTAATATATTGTGTTTTGTGATTTAATATCGACACTGTGCAGCGTATATATTCTAGTATTCTAGTATTCTAGTATCTCAACATGTGTTTCAGTTTCGATGTATGATGTATTGCAGTACTTTGGGCCTGTTTCACGCCATGGATGAGCCGAGTTGGAGTTCTCCGACTCGTTCTTGAGCCGGCAGACTTGGAAGCAGAAAATAGGGCCGAAATACGGACGGAAAATGGGTAAGAAAAGAAGGAAGAAAATACTGCTGGGGAAGCATAATTAGGAGAGAAAATAGGAAAGAAAACAGGGAAGGGACGATTAAATAAGGAACTAAGATAGGGTAGAAAAAAAAGATAATAATAATAATATATAATAATAATAATAATAGGGAAGAAACTTGGGCAGGGAAACCGGAAAGAACATGTGGAAGGAAAATTGGGAAGAAACTAGGGAAGGAAAATGTGGAAGAAAATGCGGAAGGAAAATAGGGCAGAAAATGCGGAAGGAAAATAGGGAAGAAAGTAGGGAAGGGAAACAGGGAAGCAAAATAGGTGAGGAAAATAGGGACGGAAGATATGACAGAAAATTGGGATGGAAAATTGGGAAGAATAGGGGGAAGAAGAACAGGCAATAAAATAGAAGATGAAAATAGAGAAAGAAGATAAAGAAGGGAAAGAGAGAAGGTGAATAGGCACGACAATGGGGGAAAAAGGAAATGAAAAATGGGACGAAAACAGGGATGATAAATAAACATAGTTTCAAAATAGTTTCTCTCATGTTCCTATTGTTCCTTGATGTTCCTTGTATTTCCTTTTGTTTGACTGTTTCGATATGGATCGATCCTTGGATCCCATGAGTTTCCGTGCCCAGGAGGTGGCAAAGCGGACACCACCTCATGTGCGGAACCCGTCGTTTCACAGTTGATTTGCTGCGGAGTATCCATGCTGATTTGTGCATCAAATGTTGAAAAACATGTTTCAACTACCACGAGACAGTAGCCAAGCTGCCAAGTGTCCTTTTATGGTGGGCTTAGTTCATGAGCCGCCGAGAAGTAACATTGATAGTCACTCACAATCTCAGTCTGTCTCTTTGAACACAGGAGGCAACATTGCGTAACCTTGGTACAGTGTACAACATGCTGCGCGAGCATGACAAGGCAGGGGGCCTGATGGAGTTGGGTGGCATGACTTGGGCTGCAACTTGAAGCATAATCATGTTTTTAATTCACAAATTCTCCAGAGAAAAAGTGTTTAAAGGGGAGCCCCGGCCACTTCAAGTCGGAGGCGCGAACCTACTTTGAGGCTGCTTCCAAGCTTGTGGGCGATGTCGAGAAAGAGGACGGATAGAATGAGCTGGATCTTGTACTGCAAGTGACAAAATCGACAAGAAGGTCTGAACATCTTGAAACATGTTGCTGTTTTTCCTCTGGAGTAACGCAGGGAGATTGGAGTCCAGATATCGATAGCCCGATGAAACTTGAACTGCAATGAATTGGTCCAGTTTATAATACTTTATAATATGTTGGCTAAGATAACTATGCCAAAACTATGACATAACTATGACATGACAATGCCGAGTGTAGTGCATATGCAGTGCCCCAGAGGATCTTTGGAACCTGGGCATTGTGGAGATGCACAAGAAGAACTTTGACGAGGCCGCGCCCTTGCTGGAGCGTGCACTTGCTGCCTTCCAGAAGGATGATCCAGAGGCTGGGAAGCACTGAGAAGCCATGGCCCCTCAAACAGACTGAAGATATCTGAAGATTGAAATGGTTTCAAGATGTTTCAAGATGTTTCAAGATGTTTCAACGGCCTTTCATTTCAGAAATATGATGATGTTGAAATATGTTGAATTGGACTCCCAGAGGTGCAACACTCAGGTTTTGCTGAATACCGCCTGAATGCTGGCTCTGTCCACTTGGCCCGTGGCATCCAGGAACGACCTGTAACAACCATTAACGACCATCAAAACGACCATCAAAACCACAAGACTTCAGCTGATCCGACAGGACGACGTGACCATTGCTAAGTTGAGGGATTCTGTGGGCATGTGCTACGACGGAATGGAAAGGCGCCAGATCGGTTCAGCATGGCCCACAGACGTCGACTTCGGATATGGCTAACATATATTAACATATGCTAACATGTCATATTGACGCCCTCTTCTTACTTGCACGTTTGATGGACACATGACCGAACGAACAGTGCGGTACATCATTAGGTTGTGATCTCAACAATGCAAACTTAGCGCTACATCTGTCAGACGAGTTTGGGGAGAAGTCTGCGGTCATTTCATGAAGCCGTCACAGATTCTGATCAGATATGAAGATGCCATTTTCCATTTGGCCGAAGCGCGTTCACTGTATGTGCTGGGCTCAGTACTGCAACACAAACCTGAACATTTGATAACATGTGTGTCTTTGATGATCTTTGAAGAATGTCCCATATGGCTCCATATGGGACATCTACTGTACTCATCTGTACTCATCTACTGACTCCAGGAACGCAGCATCGGCACAGAGAGCCCTTTGTATGGCACAGCTTGTGAGCGCTTGGCCAGGCCTCACGGAAGCTTCGATCGGATGTTTGGGAACAAAGATACGAAGATAAAGAGAAAGCATGCAATGTACATCAATGTTTTTTTTTTCGAAAAAACAAAATCATCAGTGATCTCATCATATCTCATCAATGTACTGCAATAAAGTTGTGTGATGTTTGGTGCTTGGAGTCAGGTCCATAAGAATCACTTCTTTGTGTCCATTTGTTATCATGTCAAGCCGCGCAGAAGCCATGGGTCCATGTTCCAAGCTCCAGGGCCCTGGTACATGCTGGCCGTCATCAAGAGGCTTTCGAAGCTGCAGTGGAGGCCTTCATGGTGATCGCCCTGCAGGCGCAGATCTGAACGGAAAGGGATGCGGAGGACTGGTATCAATTAGGTAGTGCACGCAGCCCAAAGGCCAAGATAAACCCGCGATATCCAGGAGGATGATGACGACATTTAGATCATCAAGCTCTCATGGATGCATGTTTCATCATCGTTCATGTTTCATGTTTCAGAATCGGAGATGTCAGGATGCAGTGCACCCAACACCTCTGTTTGAGCTGCTGGGGCTCATGTGGCTTGGAAGAAAGATGGACCCGGTCAATAGATTTACTTGGCCAAGGACGAACATGTTCCCGCTGATGGGCTACGTTATGTACATATTGTGTATGTATACACATATAATCACATATAAATTACGTATGCATGCAATTACATACACATTCATATACTGTACATGTACATATAAGATCATATAAGTACAAGTACTTATACTTGTACAGATACATATACAGATACATTTTACATATGCGTTTTTTGTTGACATATTCAGGAAACAAATTCCACCAAATCTGGACAGCTGGGTAATACCAGTAATTATCTTAGAAAGAATGCCATTCTTCAATTGGATTGTTGGCAAAGTTGAAGAGTCGTCGAAAAAGAAAGAAAAGAAAGTTGCAAGATGATTGAGCACATTGAGCACTTTATGTAGCCATTTCTTGTTGCCAAGGTTGGAGGAGATGCCACTGGAGAGTGAAAATGTGGCACGCCTGGCAAAGCTTCAGGTGCCCATTGCTGCAGCGGTTCGCAACCTTCACTTCCGGGAGCCAGCGCATCAACATGGCTTTGCGAATGGGTGATCGGATGGAGGATCTAGGCGAAGGTAAGGTAAGCAGGGAATATTCGCAAGACACTGCAGAAGATATCAGAAGATGAAAGGATCTTTAGTCGCTGGGGCCGAAACAGGCAGATCTGGTTTCGATGTTTGCACCCAAGGTCCAAAGCAGGTGAAAACCGTTGGTTTGCAGCGATTGGTTGCTTGCCGGTTCCTTTTGTGAAGTCGTTTTCAGACTGTTTTGATTCGTTGAAGACCCTGTACAAGTATATACACTGAATGAGACCCCTAATCAATCCCAAAGCCAGGTGGAGAGATAAACAGATCTCGCTCGCAAAGGGCAAATCAATTGACCGCAGGAGATGGACCAGGATGGAAATGCAGGAGTCCTCTACGAGCGCATGTCTCGGGCATTGGTGTTATGCAGCCCTGCAAAGGGTGACGCTGCTGATCGCAAGGCACTGTCAAGCTGCATTGATCAAAGTTGATCATGCTCGCAGTGCTCAATAGTCTTGAAAATGTCTTGAAAAGCATTAAGGCATGCACATTATACAAAAAACATGCATGATCATACCAGATTCACACTAGTATACGATACATGTTACAGACATTGTGATCATATCTGTATAATTACATATAATATATAGGCAGCCTGCAAATGACCTTGCCGCGTAGTTTGCAAGTTGGAGAGGCAGCAGCCCACCGCCGTGCAATGGCCAGAGCGCTGCTGACGCAAGCTGCGCCCTTGGTAGCAGATGCTACCGAACAGGGCTTGGCAGATCTCTCACACGCAGCTCGGATTCTGTTTGGCCTTGGACACCAGTTTCGGCACACTGAGGTGAAAAAGGTTGGATTTTCATGCACTTCAGAGTGAGAGAGAGAGAGAGTGATCTCAGTCGTTGCCGGTTAGCAGATCAGACAGGTTTGGAATGGTTTGGAGAGTTGCTCAGATTGGATTCGATTTGAGTGGTTATGATATATTATGATTATAATATAATATAGTATAGTATAATACTGATTTGATCTAATAAATATAATATAAGGTTTTGTATATTAATATCATATAATATGATATAATTTTAATATAATATAAATATGTGTATATATATATGATTTACTTGGTTTGCCATTTGGCATTTTGCCCAAAACTATTGTTGTTTATCACCCTGGGCTCCATCGTTGCGAAATTTGCACGGTGCAAACAAGTGGCATAGATAAACGTGAAAAAACATGGGTTTAAAGCTATCAAACATCTTTAAACCTTTGGTGCCACTGTGCCACTGAGATCTCCTTGCTCATCAGCATGCAGCTACAAACTTTGGATGCACATGATGCTGAGCAGCGCCGTTCGTTGGATGGGGCCAGTGCCATGACGCTGGAGCAATGAAAAAGTCGCTCTAAAGCTGCTTCACTGTTGCCTCCAGAGTGATAAGATCAGCTTGCTGATGACTGTCAGACATCAGCTGTTCCTTATAGAATCGACTTCAAGTGGCGGAGCAGAGTGAACCAACAATTTTGTTCCAAGAGTACCTCAATTGCAGGTGTGGAGCCAATAGGCCTGCTAGAGCGGAGCACAGCAGGGTACTGAGAGCCGCTAAAACATTGAGGACGGTTTAAAACTGTTTAAATGTTCACGCAAATTGTCCAGCGTGGTTTTGCGTTTTCAGGTGTTTTGCAAGCGCTTTGCTCCTGATGATCAGATCAGAGAAGGCAACGTAGCGCAATGCACCGCAGATATGCAGAGATGTCGTCAGTCGGATCAATACTGTAGAGTTTGTCCTAACTTGCAACTTGTTAAGCATGTTAAAAGTTAAAGACTCTCCTTTTTTGTGTCACAAATTGGAGTTTACAAGGAAGTGTATGGCCATTAGTAGTTTTCTCCCACCTCAGGTTGCTTGCGCCGTCGAACCTCTGGCGAAAGTGTTGAGGTGAGCACCGGCATACGGGTTCTGATGTTGCTGTCACCTTGAAATCCGAAATGTTCATCGCCGAGAGCTCAAGCCCCAAGTTTTGGGTCGTCATTTTCACAGGTGTACAAGTTACAATTCTTGGCAGCTCCGGAAGTCAATGCATCGCCTTAGACTACGGATTTGGATAGATTCGGAGAATTCAAAGCTAGCATGAGGATTTGTCTAAGTCCATTCCATGCATGTGAGACTATTGCTCCAAACTTAACGGCTGCAGCGTTGCCCGAGCTGTTTTGCATCTCCTGCTTTGGCCTTAAATTCTTGAATGGTTTTGAGGTACTGAGTGGACCTGCACATGAAGACCCCCGGGCTCAGGAGCAGGAGTATTTCGAGCATTTGCTAAGGAATTTGATGCACCACAACTGTCACAGTCTGTCTTCAAGGCATGGAGACATTCCTGGGACTTTGACAAGCAACATTTGGGCTCCAGACGTTTTGTCGAGCTTAACTGCGTGTTACATCACGTGACAATTCAAGCTATCAGGCAGATCAAATTGAATTGAATAGTTAGTGGAATCAAAGACACTGAGTTGAGTTATGTCACTATATCCATAGCAGCATCAGCAGCCTTTGGACCCCTCTAAATCAATCGAAGCAATGTGAAAAAAGGATAAAAAAGGAACCATGTGTTTCAGAGGTAAGGAGGTCTTGAATCTGGCATCGCCCCGTGCTCCCTTTGAGTCTTCATGTCGAAAGACAGATATGCTGCGACAGCTCAGCTGGCACGCGCGCCGGTCTGCGGAGGCACGGTCTCCACAGTGATCTCCTGGGCACCGTCGGCACCGTGTCAGTTGGTCGGTTTCTCATGGTTTCTCCAAAATAGGGTGCCATGGTATCAGAAATGTATCAGAACGTATCAGATATTGTCAGATCATGTCAGGTCCTCAAGGACCCCATTTGGCGCTTTTGCTGGGACATTATTCAAGAGCGCAGCGGCGGCTCGGAAAAGTTTCCAGCTTCTTGGATTTTAAGTGACTTCAGATGATTTCAAATGATTTCAAATGACCCCCAAATTTCTTGAAATGACCTCAATGTTTGCAAATGCAGTTACTCTGATGGTTGAGAAACTTTGGGAAACGGTCACTTGCTTCCAAAAGGACGGGCTGAGGCATGCGATGAATTCTTGGCCTCCGCAATCGACGTCTACCAGTATCTTCAACAAGAGCTGATGGCAGCTGATCAGATAGGCCACCTTGAGGATGTGTTTTCCAAAGCAACTTGGAAGCAATGTCGTTGATGATAGTTGATGAGCAAAGAGCTTGGGCCTCGGTGCAAAGGACTTGAAGTAAAGCCGTGAAATCCCTGATTGCAACAAACCTTTTCTGCAGAGGATAGGCCTGGTACTAAAAGTCACTGAAAGTCCATGCGGTTGAAGATTGAAAGATATTGAAAGCCTCATTGGCTGAGTGCTTCTCCCATTTCATCCCACTTGAGGATCTATGGCCTATCGTTCGCTCCGCGCATGGCGATTTCGAGCCGTTGCGCAAGCAATTTGGACGCGAAAACTGCAAGATCAAGTGGGTCTCCACAGAGGCGAAAATTCATCGTGGTTGAACTGTCAATTCCGCGAAGATACCAGTGCCAGTAGTTCATTCACAGCCCAGTAAGATCCAGTAGCATTGGGGAGATACTGGCATCATCTGGCACCACGATAACGCGGAGGCCTTCATCTTTACGCTGCAGCAGCCTGGGCCTAGAGAAGACCTACGGCCAAAGAAGCTGGAGGACTGGCAACTGCCAATTCTTTGTGGAGAGGTATTTGGCTTGATCATTGGAAAATTGGAATATCATTGGAATATATTTGGAATGTAGACAGAGACTCTTCAGGAACTTGTTTGAGTATATTTGAATGTGTTCGGATGGGACACGCTGAATTTATGCATCTTGACACATTCTGGCATGAAGGAACGAGGGCATCCAAATCAGAATGACTTTTACATGTTCGCGATTTTCTTCCCTGACACGAAAATGTGTTTGCTTCGAAAGACTAGAACTGAATCGAACCTGTAGCAAAGCACAAGAGCTGCAGGAGTCCTTTACTCAGTGTATTCATTTGAATTCTGGGTATATTATACAACTTAGTTGATATTAATATATATATATTGTGTCATTATATTATATGTAATGTAATGGTATGTAATGGTATGTGGGTATGTAATGGTATGTGTTTATGATTGTTTATGTATGTATGGTAAATGGTATGGTAAATGGTATGTGGTTTTTGTGCTTGTCTCTTCAGGATTCAGCGGATTGCTTTGTGGTGGCGGGAGCCCGACTTTTCTCGGTGATGAGTTTGTCCTTCGCCCCTGAGGTCTCGGGTTGGGCAGTGTACTTTTTCCCATGGCCCTTCGAAAGCTCATGCTCGATATGTTCGTTTCTTATGGCAGTTATCGTAGCTTGGGTACTGTCTCCCACAGTGAGTTGAGACAATGCTGAGCTGATGTGGTGATTCGATTGGAGGAACGATACAGCATCGATGACCTGATTTTCGAGTCTGCTTTTGATGAGAAAGATGGGGTTCTCTAGCTGCAATGCTTTGAATGTGTGCTTTATTTGCAAACGCGACAAGCGTGGAAATGCTGAAAGTGCATGAAAGTGTTGAATGGTTGAGGTGGTGCAGTGGCGAATAATTGATATCAGCGGTCCGCAAGCCCCAAGTGAATGAGGTGCCATAACGGGCTTGGAACTGTTCACAGGATTTCAACGGCGGTAAATGTATGTGAATGTATTGCCATCAAATGTTTGAGACAGAATGCCGATGAATGATTTGAGATTACCCGCATGCCTCTGGTCATCTACAGTCAGCCTGTTAAGACAAGTGCCGCTTTTCGTATTCTTTGCTACCTTCATCGCAGATCAATGAGAGCTTCTATCCTGAGCCGCACTTCCGCTGAAGGATAAAAGAAGCAAAAAGGGGCCGCTTCGGATGTGTATATATATATCATATTATAATATATATATATATCATATTGTAATGTATACTGTATATATATATGTTATATTATATTATAATATATATATATATTATATTAATATATATATATATTATTAGATTATATATATACATATTATATTATATTATATTATATATATATTATATTATTATATATTATATAGTATATATTATATATATTATATTATATAGTATATATTATATATATTATATATATATAATATTTTATATTATATATTATATATTATATAATATATGGTTCAGAAAGGTATATATCGGATTCATTCTGACTCCTCAGTCTTGAGTCTTGAGTCCTGTTGCAAGAAAACCTGCGTGACGATCACCGATGAACAAGTTCCCCCTTTCACGTTGGGATTGTCTCTGGTTTTGTGCTACTGTAGTCACACTGTAGTCTGCGGAATTTGTAGGTTCTGATTGGGATATGAGCTTGTGACATGCGCAGTCTTGATGTGGGCTGCAGCAAACAGAATTGAGAGGGAGTAAGAAGAGGTCTTTGCAAGCCGCGTACAAGACGCTTCAGTTTGGATGCGGTTCCCAAAGACCACACATGGTGCAGAATCCGTAGTTCACCCGCCAGTGGATGTAAGCTTGTCACACGTGCGGTCTTGATATGGGCTGCAGTTTGACCTTGTTGGCTCCAAACACGTGTAGAACCATTAGAAGCCAGGCTTTATTCATGGGGACGGAATTGAGAGAAAGTAAGAAGAGGTCTTTGCAAGCCGCGTACAAGACGCTTCAATTTGGATGCGGTTCCCAAAGACCACACATGGTGCAGAAGTCCGTCGTTCACCCGCCAGTGGATGTAAGTTTGTCACATGTGCGGTCTTGATATGGGCTGCAGTTTGACCTTATTGGCTCCAAACACATGTAGAACCATTAGAAGCCAGGCTTTATTCATGGGGACGGAATTGAGAGAAAGTAAGAAGAGGTCTTTGCAAGCCGCGTACAAGACGCTTCAATTTGGATGCGGTTCCCAAAGACCACACATGGTGCAGAAGTCCGTAGTTCACCTGCCAGTGGATGTAAGTTTGTCACATGTGCGGTCTTGATATAGGCTGCGGTTGGACCTTATTGGCTCCAAACACGTGTAGAACCATTAGAAGCCAGGCTTTATTCATGGGGACGGAATTGAGAGAAAGTAAGAAGGGGTCTTTGCAAGCAGCGTACAAGACGCTTCAATTTGGATGCGGTTCCCAAAGACCACCATGGTGCAGAAGTCCGTAGTTCACCTGCCAGTGGATGTAAGTTTGTCACATGTGCGGTCTTGATATAGGCTGCGGTTGGACCTTATTGGCTCCAAACACGTGTAGAACCATTAGAAGCCAGGCTTTATTCATGGGGACGGAATTGAGAGAAAGTAAGAAGAGGTCTTTGCAAGCCGCGTACAAGACGCTTCAATTTGGATGCGGTTCCCAAAGACCACACATGGTGCAGAAGTCCGTAGTTCACCCGCCAGTGGATGTAAGTTTGTCACATGTGCGGTCTTGATATGGGCTGCAATTGCATTGCGAGTTTTGTTCTGACCTGCCGATGTGCACTGGATATTGAGATACTTGCGCCATCTTGCGCTGATAGGAGCGGCATCAGCCAAAGCTGTGCGTCATTTGTCATTGTGACGCAGACAGGCAGGTGGGACAAGGATGGAAATAGCAGCATGAAATATATATATATAACTTCCAGGAAAGTTTTAGTTTTAGATGTTGAAATGCTCTTGACTTTGCTCAGCTAGTATATACTGCCTGAAACGCAGCGGAGGCCAGAAGTGTCGGCACTTTGCGGTCACTTTGCCTGCGAGGCCGGGGACAAAGATGTCAATAAAATTGCGAAGAGGGAAGGCTAGATGTGAGGTGAGACCCGCAGCAGCAGAGAACTATGCGACAGATTGCGACAGTATGGGAGTGTATTGGATTTATTGGATGCCAATGCACAAAGACATCCTGAGACCATTGGGTATGGGCTTCAGACTTGCTCTTGTTTGGCGGGTAGCTGGGCAGATACTGGGGCCATGGCTGACTCTCAAGACAACACTGTCATGTCCTAGCTTGTTTATCTTGTTTAAATATGTAGGATTAGCATGGATTAGCGCTAGTATCACGTTTCTGCCTTAGGGTTTTTGCATGTTTTTGCAAGCATTCCGCTGCAATGGATATGCCACAGGGCGTCTCTACTGAGCGGAACGTATATTACGGCCAAAGAGGGCCAGAAGCCGCCGTAAGCATGTAGCCCAAACACGTGCCAGGGGTATCCAGGGTTTATGATTTTCAGGATTTGGAGAGAATAGACAGTCTGTTTGTCTCTCTTTTTGGGCTCTGGGAATCCCGTCTCTCTATTTATCACGGGGTTTGAAAGATGCATTAATGTTCGGAAACTGTTGGCTCCATTTGCGGAATAGGAACATATAGGAACAGACAAGCGCATTGCTCGATTTAGGGGCAAGCTGGGACCGGTATGGTGCAGGCATGCTGGGACAAGTGGCTGACAGAGAAGCTGGAGTGCCCGATTTGCCGTTGCAAGGTGCGCCTGAGTTTCCCATTCACATGCTCCATTCCCCAATTCGGTTATATAAATTAGGTGGTGCTCATTCCAGCCTTCACAATCACAAGGTACGAAGACAAAACCTAATTAAGCTGAAGGGATGGGAAGATTGCTGATTCAATTCAGAAACAAAGGTGTGATATAGGCATAATTATATCATGTTACATCGGTAATAGAGTTGTACAGTACATGAACACAAGATGGATGGGCGGGTGAGTGGATACTCGCAGATACTAATAGCCCTAATAATCTTTACAAAATGAAAAAGATCCCCCATCCTCATATATATTTTATTCTATCTATACTATATATTCTAGAATAATAATAATTAATACTATTTAATTTATCATTTTATATAATATTTATTTTATATTAAATCTATTTTTAATATATTAAATATATTAAATATATTAAATATATTAAACATTACTACTAAAATTACGATTTGGCTGTATATAGAGCGCGCGCGGTAGTTTCCCAAGGCCAATTTTCCTAAAAATCTGCAACTTTTTTGGGAAAATTGGCGAATGCAAACTTAGTCTGTGTGAATACAAACCAAGTCTGTACTTCCTGAGCCCCCTGCTCGGAGGTCGAAAATTTACTACTTTTTTGGGAAAATTAAATTAGATGTTTTCAAAAAAGCGATGGTTTTTTGGGAAAATTTCTCTTCTTACCAGTCAGTGTCCCACTAAGCAAATGCAGGACGGTCGGTCAGGGTCGGTCGGGGGTTCGATTCCCCCCTGGTCCACTGTCGCTCCGTACGTCTTTCAGTTGAGTTTGTACATGTGTTTTCTGAATTTGGTGCGCGCCCGCGCACGTTTCCCGAGGCCAATTTCCCAAAAATTTGCCACAATTTTGGGACTTTCACCCCGAGCCCAATTTTCCCAAAAATTTGCCATAATTTTGGGACTTTTACCCTGAGCCCAAATTTCCTAAAAATTTGGCACAATTTTGGGACTTTCACCCCGAGTCTAATTTTCCCAAACATTTGCCGTATTTTTTGGACTTTTCCCGAATACAAACTTTCGGAATTTTTGTTTTGCGTTTCCGTTATTTTGAATTTACCGCATGCATCTGTCGCTCTTTTGAATTCACCATGGGCCCACTGTCGCTCGGTAGGTCTTTCAGTTGCGTTTGACACCGTGTCTTCGAATGCGACGCGCGCACGGAGTTTCCCGAGCCCAATTTTTTCCCAAAAATCTGCCACAGTTTTGGGACTTTCACGAATACAAACTCAGTCTGTACTTCCTCCTGCGTGGAGGTCGAACATTTACTACTTTTTTGGAAATTCTCGTATGCGTTTCCTTTTTTTTGAATTTACCGCATGCGTCTACCACTCGAATTCAAATTCATTATGAGATTTGAAACAGGCATATCAGATTTTGGCGGGTGTAGCACAACATTGCTTGGCGCGGCAAGCACCAAAACGTCATGCCCATAGATATTTCAAGCCTGCTGGCCATAGGTACGAGTGTTTTTTTGGTGCCGCTGACTTTGCATTGGAAAGGCCGCTGATATAGGCTCGCCATGCTAGCGGAATGAAGTAGTACAACCGAACCAGTCGCATATTTTCATATAACTATATATTTAGTTATTAATCTTGTAACGGTACCCTTGATATAGACCGCATGGCTATTTACTGCCGCGTAAAGGCCCAGAGTTCCAAACGTCACTTTCTGAACGCCTAGAAACTAGCTGCAAACCTTGCCTTTACCTGCCGTTCGGCCCGCGGCCGGCAGCCCAGAGTGCCAAACATTACTTTCTGAATTCTTAGAAACTAGCTGCCAACCTTGCCTTTACCTGCCGTTCAGCATTGCCACCCTAGGTTTAAGGACGTTGCCGCAGTACCAAAATACCATGGCAGTGAGGGACGGATCGGGCCCGCGACCGGCAGCCCAGAGTGCCAAATATTACTTTCTGAATGCCTAGAAACTAGCTGCAAACCTGGCAGTGAGGGACGGATCGGGCCCGCGACCGGCAGCGCAGAGTATCAAACGTTACTTTCTGAACGTCTAGAAACTAGTTGCAAACCTTGCCTTTACTTGCCGTTCGGCACTGCCATCCTAGCGTCCTTAATTCTTTGCTACTAATTCCAATTTTACTATTTGGCTATACACAAACCACTTCCGGGGGAGCAGCTTTCAGTAGCAACTTTC